TGACCAGATGAACTGTCTCTGATATAAGCAACTATCTCTGAAGATAGGTCCTTCTGAACTTATTTTCTGATCAAGGTTTACTCTGGAAGCTTTGGCAAAGGCATTTCTGTTTTCTGTTATTTAAATTGCCTAAAATGTTTGTGTAAACTGATGAATATTGGAAAATACAGACATCATAAAAATGCCAAATTGATGATAGGCATTCAAGACTGAATATTGGTAGGTGGAATATGTAGTTTCAGAATATTAGGTGAATATTTTTAAGGAGTTGGGGGAAAGCCAGGAAAAACTCATTCTTATTTAATGATTCTGAAACTCAGAATCTGAACTGCTAGCATAAACTGAAATCAGGATTCTTATCCCGCTTTTCACTTCTTATACTTTGCTTTGCCAAAAGTTCAGATGAGAAAAAAAGTCTTGAAAATGGAAGTAAGGAAAATGTTTAATATAAGCCAAATTTACTTATTAATGTATGCTATTAAAGGCTGAGAATGAATTCTAGAATTTAAAGTTCATTGTATTTATCTTCCAAATCAAGCCAAAGTTATTTAAAATACCATATGGTTTTAGGAGATATACTTGGTGTCTTTGGGAACTTGAGGCTACTAAATCATTAACAGCTGTCAGAAAAGAATAGACCAAATGTACTTGGAATTTCGTTCTTTGTAGTGGGGAAATTTGTGGATTTCCTGGTTCAGCCCATCTGATGAGAAGAATACTCACAAATATGTCAGTTGGTTGCACAGGATGAATAATTTTGCCAGAGAATATGAGATAGATGAGAGCAAAGATAAATTTATTTATTTATTTATTTTCCCAAATTATGTTTATTGGAGTAAAGTAGGTTTATATCTTTATGTCTGCTCTGAGGGTTACAAGGTTTCACACCCTGCCCAACATCAGTGCCCTAACAATCTTCCGCTGTGTTCCATTAGTCTCTCCAGCCTCCATCCTGCCCTTAGTGGCTCAGTTCTGAAATCAGATGTTAAGAGTTTATAATTGATTTGGTGTTGACTGACCCCTTGTTATGTTTCCTGGTATTCCACATATAATTGAACCATCTAGTATTTGTCTTTCTTCTGACTTATTTTACTTAGAATTATCCTTTCTGGGTGTCCCTGGTGGTGTAAGTGGTTAAGACGCAACCTATGAAGCTATCCGCAGCCACTGCAGTACGAGTTTGATCCCTGGCCAGGGAGATACCCACATGGCGCAGCAGACCTCCCCTGACTTACCTGCTGCTCCCCTCAGCAGTGTATTTCTGTAGATCTGCCTGTTCTGTGCCCCTCTCTGTCACTGGTGAATTCTCTCACCCCCCCCCCACTGCTCTGGCCTGTACCCCAGTTCTTGTATGCATAAATAAATAAATCTTTAAAAAAAAAGAATTATCCTTTCCATTTTCATCTATGTTATAACAAATGGCAGGAGTTCATCCTTTTTTTTGTAGCTGAGTAGTATTCCATAGTATATGTACACCACATTTTTCTGATCCACTTAGGCTGTTTCCCTTATTTAGTTATTGTAAACAGGGCTGTGATGAACACATATCCCTGAGAGTGAAGATAAACTTAAGAATATTATGCTATCGGTTGAAAAAGGTAAGACTAATTAAAGAGGAAAATATTGGTAAGAGTTTCATCAGGCATAGGGTTCTCAGCCTAGGCCAGATAATTCTCTGTTGCAGGGTCTGTCCTGTGTATTGTGGGATGTTTAGCAGCATCTCTGGCTTAACTTTCCCGATGCACATAGCACCCTTTCCCCAGTGCGACAATCAAAAATGTCTCCAGACATGGCTGACTGTCCTCCACGGGAGCCAGCATGCCGTGGATAGATATACCTGGGCTAGATCCAAATAACCCCCAAAATTACTCCCTAGTAATTTCCACAAATGGAATGTGATGGAGGGACAGTCTTACTAAGAATTTTTTTTTTTTTTTTTTTATAGAGGCATGTTTTATTTATTTATTTTATTTGTTTGTTTGTTTTGTTTTTACATGCACTGGGTACAGTCAGAAGCGCGGGAGGGTGAGAGAATTCACCAGAGCCAGAGTGGGGAGCAGAGCAGGCAGAAGGACTGAAGTACACTGCTGAGGGGAGCAGCGGGCGGCAGGAGAGGTCTGCGCGCCATGTGGGACCCTCCTCGGGTGGCCGGGGAGCAGCCGGGGATCGAACCGGCGCCGCAGAGGCCGCGGGCAGCTTCGCAACCCAGCGCTCAACCGCTGCGCCACCGGGGAGGCCCAGTCTTACTAAGAATTTTGACTCTTGCACTTGTTATTGGTATCATTTCATTTGGGAAGCATAATAATTAAGGAATACCTCGTAAACAGATATCGTGCTGGTGAAAAGCAGATCACAGTGCTTTTCAATCTAGAGTTATGTAAGTACAGTGAGAATACTAAAGGTGTAGGCGATTGCCTTTTATTTTGCCTCCCTCTAAAAACCTTGCAGAAATACCTAGGACCGGGGTCGCACTGGGGAGTCTCCGGGAATGACTTCCCACATGTTTAAATGTCACTATGTAGCAGAGGCAACTTGGAGACCTACATGATCTTATATGCTTATCTTCATATAAGATTAAACAACCTTTGTGGCAGACACTATTTATATTCACCAAATATTTTTGTCATCTATACTATCCAGTTTTATTTTTGGTTGAGTTGAGGGACTATGTAGTTCTTATCCAGTGAAATGTAAACTGAATTCAACTTCTGGGCTGAGGAACATAAGAACCTGGTGTTTCTTCCACTCTCTTCTCCTATAAGGACATTGGGGGCCGCACCAACACCTGTGCTAGAGCCAAAGAAACAACTGCCCCTTTTTTTCATTTTCTCTGTTCTCAGTTACCCTTTTGGGGACCTCTGTGAGGTAGAAGTTGGATTTTATGGATTGATCTGTTTAATTCTCCTTTAGTTTCAGCTGTCTTTAGTTTATTCTTCTTTCTGGAATACAGTTGGAATGTGGACACATGGAATAGAAGGTTCAGCTCATAGTCCAGAGCATAGATATCTCTGTCCGTTGGCTTTCTTCAGGCTAATGATAGTCTGATGAGAAAGCCGCATGCGCATGAGATAAATACTTAGGAAGGTGTTACCCACAATCTGGCAAGTTCTCCACTGCATCAAGGTGGGGAGATTTGGGGGGGTGTTTCCTCAATAAATGAAGAATGAATGGTAAGGATTTGGGAGGCGCTGTAGTGTGGCCATCAAGAGCGTGTCTCTGCTGTCCAGCTGTCTGGTTTGAATTGCAGCGATGATACTTATTAGCTGTGTGATCTTTGCAAGTTACATAACTTCTCTGAGTCTGGTCTTTTTGATCTTTCAAATGAAGTATTAGTTCATTATAGGATACAAGTATGTAATTTACATTCAGAAGCTAAAATAGTGCCTGCTTCATAGCATATAGCTCTTCTTTTTTATCTTTTATTCCTTCAATATCTCCCCTTCAATTATCTTTCCTAAAAGTGCTTCTTTTATTGCAAATGCTACGTAGTATTTGCTGCTACTATTAATTACGTTGCAAATCAAAAGAATGATACTGATCCTATGAGTTCTAAAATATTTGACATCTATATAGCCTGTTGAATGTCTTACTGCAGACTCCCACAATGAATATACATATGCTAAGTGTTTTCATAATTCCAGTTGCCTTGTTTTTTTCTGCCAGTCACAGGACTGCTGGAAACATAAGTGGTGTTTATAGTCAAAGAGAAGGTACCCTTTTCTCTGGGCTCTTGCAGCTTCGTGTCACATGCCTGTGTTGGCAAGCAGGACGTGAGCTGGATTTCATCCTGTTAGAATTCTTGTCTGAGTTTATTGCGATGATGAAAGGAATTTAGAGGAAAAAGCCAATCAAAGGTTCAAGCAAGGAATGTTTATTGTGGATCACACAATAGGGCAGGGGCTGCAGCTGCCTGAGAGCAGCCAGTTTGTGGGGGGGATGTTCTGGTTGATGGGGTTCATTGCCAGGTGGGGTAGCAGGGAAGCTGGGTATTGGCTGGCCAGTGTTTGGTGGTTTCAAGACAAACAAGGACCAAATTCAAGTTAACTCTATAACAAAGGGGTCAGGTAAAGCAAGCACCAGATTAACTTAGTAATAGGTAGGGAAGGTAACGAACCAGGACCAGGCTCCAGGGGTCCTGCAGTGATGGCGCCAGGTAGGGGGGACAGTGTACTGCGTCTGGGCTGCGTGACTGTGCAGAGCCCTGATTCCTGGCCTGGCTAGGAAATTTCTTTCTCCAGGGGGAGTTCTGTCAGTTGGACTAGATTCCTAGTAAAGCTCTGCCCTCCGCTCCTGCTAGAGGAGGCTGGGAGTGGAAGTGGGGTGTAGGACCATCACCCCACGAAGGGCTTAGGAATGAGAGGGAATGGACAAGCATATTGTCAAGTCGTTAGCACACGGATTTTTCCCCCTCTATTTACCTTTACTATTATTATTTTTATTGCCTTACATTGCTGTTTATTTTTGTGTAATATTTGCATTCTCTGCTCATGGGCAGTCCACCACCGCATCATCCAGGAACCGTCACCATAGTCCCTTGTGCTCTTCCCTCTTCTATTTTGACCCATATCGCTCCCAACTCCCCTGCTGTACGCCTCAGATACATAGTTTCACTGCAAATTTTGTCTCTCTCTTTTTTTTTTTTGACCTTTTATGTGGTTTTCCTATATACCTCCTGTAAGTGCAACCAGCCATTATTTTTCTTTTTCCTTCTGACTTATTTCACTGAGCATAATCCTTTAGTTCCATCCATGTTGAACTGAGCCCCAAGTAACTCAGGCTTCCAGAGATGGCATGAAAGTGTAGAAGAGGAGAAAGGAGATTGAAAAGAATGAGCAGGAGGAGGAGAGTGAGGATGCTTTGTCAGCAAAGGTAAGAGGGGAGATATAACACCAAAGGCCAACTCTGTGGCTAACTGCAGAGGTCACTGGCTGTGAGTCACGCGTGCCTAAAACATGATGCGGCCTTGCTGTTTCCTCACTGGTCGCCCTCCTGTCTCCTAGGTGAAGGCCTCTGACGCGGATGCAGGGCCCTATGGCTTTGTTGAGTATTTTCTCTACGATGGATTCCAAAGCAACAATGCTCCTCAGGCATTCCAGATTGACCGGCACGATGGGCGAATCTGTGTTTCTCAAGACATCGACAGGGAAGGGGATCCTGCCACCTATGATCTCTTGGTGAAAGCTCAAGATGGGGTAAGTTTTTATAGAGGAAATTCAAACATTGAAAAGCAAACCACTGTCTGTGCATAAGAGAGGACCCAGTTATTATTGACAATTGACCAATCTTGCTTCACAAATTGCTACTTCCTTCGTCAGCTGGTGTTTTTTGAAGCAAATACCAGACATTATATCATTTTATCCATTAATAATTTGATAGCATCTTTAACAGATGACTTTTTAAAAACATGACAACACATTAATAGCGATTCTTTAATAATATCTAATATCCATTACATTTAGAATATTCTGGATTACCTAAAAATGTCTTTTAATAGTTGGCTTGTTTGAATCAAGATCCAAAGCCATTAAGTCCACACATTGATTTGATTACTAAATCTCTTCGGTTTCAATCTGTCACAGTCAGTCTCCCACCCCTTTACTTTTTTCCTACAGTATTTATTTTGTGAAGAAACCAGGTCTTTTGTCTTGTAAATTTTCCACATTCTGAATGTGGCCAATTCCATCCTTGGGATCCATTTAATGTCTTCTTTTATCCTGTTGCTCATAAACTGGCATTTAGAGCCAGATACCTGATTAGTTCAGGGTTCATTTGTGCCCTGTGCTTCTTATTGCATCAGTAGGCACATGATTTATTTCATTAGGGGTTTCAGTGTGGTGATTTTTGAATTCTATTATTTCTTCTGCATTTATTACCTGCAGTTCTTTAACTAAGTAGAATGTTCTGTCATCAAGTATTTGATTACCCTGAAATATAATCATACAGGAAAGGCAATATAATACTTCTCTTTACCAGTTTTTAGTATCTTGAGTTGGATATGTAACCATTACCAAAGATTATAATGGTTTCTTCACTAGTTTGATTATAACTTTCTGGATTATTATACATGAGATGTACTTCATAGGTCTCTAAACTAATCCTTCTAAGGTTGGACCCATCTTAGATCAAGGGAGGCACATTTAATTTGACTCCCATGTATTCCTTTTTTTTTTTTTTTTTGGTAGACTTTTAAACTGACATATAAAATGCTTGCAAAAAAGTGCACAAACCCAATGGATTTTTGCAAAATAAACATGTGCATAAAAGCAGATAAACATGACTGCTCCCGGTTTCCCTCTCTGGGTTTTGTGCTGTGACAAAGGTCCCATCCTTTGACAACTGATCCCAAACTTTATTTACCACTTTATAAACTTCCAGTGGATGGATTCATGAGACATGTACTTTGTTCTGTTTCTTTTGCTGATTATTTGTGAGATTCATTCATGCTGTTGTGTAGCAACAGTTCTTTCATCCCTATTGGCTTATAGTATTTTTTATGTGACATTATGATCATTTTTTATCTATTCTATTGTGCTATGGGTATTCAACATTTTAGTGGATTACAAATTCAACGTTTTATTCAACATTTTAGTGAATATAAATAGTGCTTCTATTAACATTCTTATACAAGTAATTCAGTGAAAAAATGTAAACATTTCTATTGAGAATATATTTAAGAGTGGACTTTCCAGATCATAAAAACAACAGCAACAACTACCTTGTTTGCACCAACAGCTGTCTTCAGTGTTCCTCATGTGTACCTCGGAATGTGCAAGAACAAGCAACATCGTGTGTGTGTGTGGGGGGGGGGTTTATTATGTTGCAGTGTAATCCGCATATGTTTCTTCTGGACGAGCTGCATTTCCACAGCATGAAGGCTGCACCTGCCATTATTATTCTGTGCAGTGTCCATTAGCAGCACCTCCCATGTCACCGGGATTGGGAAAATCAAAGATAACAGGGTTCATTATGACTCTGAAGGCTATTCCCCCAAAGCAGTCTAAATTGGATCTGAAGAACAAATGAATCCAAACAGGTAGTTTAGGCTGAGAATGTTGGATTCCAGGCCATAATGAATTTATTTGAAACAATAAACTGCATCTCAACAGAAGACCTTTAACTTTACATAATTGCCTTGACATCTGTAGTTTTTCCTCTGATCCTTTCTCTTTGTAAAATATGTCCTGAAAACTCTTTGTCAGAAAATTGCTAAGAACCCATTTGCTGATGGCTACTGAGAGATTTTTATCTGTCAATAGAAGAATTTTTCTTATAAAAGACCTAGATGTTCTGGCCTTCTTTGCTGCTACTCTATTTATCCTTGTGATGACTGTCAGTATTTTTTTAAGCTCAATCATGTCTCCTATTCTGCTGGTATTACTTCAGAAATAATCTGTTTTTGCTGCCTTTTATCTCATACCTAGAAGCCATGAGGATGCTGTTAAATTACATAATGGAAACAAATAATTGGATTACATTGGAAATCAAAGGGTTTTTCACAATAAAGCTCTATAATTTAATTCTTTTATTTAATGTGTCTCTCTAATTCCCCATTCTATTTCCTATTCTCTCTTTTTGGTATACATATTTATTAACATTCTATCTCTATTTTTTGTGACACCCTGAATTTTGTAGCTGAAATATGTGTCTGAGATAAAGCTATTTCAGCTCTATCTCACCACTGCAGACTTAGGGAAGGATGTGTCAGGCTGGCAATATGGAAAGTAAATGGCCCTGGCCTTCACCACCCTGTGCATTCATGATGAAAGCTGGCTGTAGAGCTGGCTGTGCAGGCCGGATGTAATGCTGATGAATATCCAGAAGCAAACGCGTGAACAGAAATGCTCATTTCCCCCCTTTCATTCTCCCAGCTTTATTGAAGTATAATTAAAAAGTAATTTTGTGTGTATATAAGGTGTATACCATGATGTTTTGATATGTGTAGATATTGTGAAATGATGACCACAATCAAGCTAATTAGCAGAGTGGTCTCTTCTTGTAGTGAGTGGTGAAAACACTTTAGATTTACTCAGCAGATCTTAGGCACACAATACAGTATTATCAGGTGGAATCTTCACAGAGTATGTTAGATCAACAGAACACACATAACTGAAACTCGCGGCCCGCTCATTTTAACTTTAATAATTATCTCACGTGCCAACAAGTATTACAGCTTTTATTCTTATCTTTTATTCATTGATTGCTACCCCGCACCCCAGTCTCAAGAATCATCCATTGTCCTTTGGCCTATGTTTTTAGTTAAATTGCCTGAGCCATATCTCAAACTGATTGTCAGTCTTACTTTAATATACAACCAGGATGAATCCCGAAGTGTCTTAAATATTACCTTATCTCATTCTTCTCCCTGGAAGTGGGAGTCTCTGGGCTGACCATCAGTGTCTCTATTTTTAAACCATCCTGCTCTGTACATCCTTTAATTTGAATCAATCTTCTGCCTCCAAACCCCCCCCCCCATACCCTCCGGACCTCAGATGCATCATTTAGCAAACCCCCTGGTGAACTCAACCTGGTCTCTGACGGCTCCTTTATCTTCTTGCCCTGATTAAAACAGTTGTCCCTGAGGGTACCAGTTCCTCTCACAAAGGAGCCATCTCCTGCTAATCACGAGCCTCCAGCCAGGAGGGACAGGTGGGTGGTGTGGAGGTAGCTGCCCCCTCCTGCGTTCCCCCCACATCTGAATCAGTTCTTCTTCTTTCTCTATCAAAAACCAATTTGCTCTTGAAGTTCACATTGTCAGACGTTCCCATGGTCTTTGCTGCTGCCATCATGTCCTAAACCTCCTATCCCTTAGCACCTTCAGCCTCGCTCCCGGCCTTCCTCTGTCACCTTTCCCTCGGGGAGACTTCAGTCTCTGTGTGTGGAACCAGCCAACACCAGAACCTCTCACTTACTAGCCTTTCTCATGTCCAGGGTCACAACCAGTATTGGCGCACCCTTGGAAACCCTGATTGCAAGCATGCTGTTTTCTGCTTAACACCCTTACCGTTCTGTCTCGCTTGCTGTATACTTGGCTGTATCTTGGCTGTATACTTGGATGGACCAGCCTATAATTCTCCTCCCATGTTAAGATCACTAATTTATTGACTCATCATTAAAGTCATTTAGTTGCAAACTCCCTTTAACTTCCTGACTCCATATAACTCTCTGGATAGAGCTCCAGCCCTGGCTATGGTGGAACCAGTGCTGATTTTCTACACTGCATGTACCCAGAGCAAAGGCCATACATACCTGCTGGAGAGACGCATCCTTCCCTCCCCAGTGATCAGTCACGTTCTTTGCCTTCTTTCCTATTGTAGCATTAGCTGTCCCTGTTGGCATCAACAGCAGATCCCTCCGTTGTTCAAGGTACATCTTTTCCAGCCTCCTGGAGGGTGTCACTTCAATAATGATTGTTTTTTACTTGTACTAAATATATCCTGTGAGCATTCAAGACATAATAGTTTTTCTCTTTAAAAAAGCCTCTTTTTGATTTCCTGTACCTTTTTGAAAAGTCATTTTGTTCCTCTCGTGTCTTTTACAACAAATCTATTTAAAACAGTTCTTTATTTCCTTACTTTTCCATTTTTCTTTGAGCTGTGCCTCCCATCCCATTCTAATATACATTGTTTTTTAATTGAGGTCACATTGGTTTACAACACTGTATACGCCTCAGAGCATCGGGTCACACCTCTTTGGATATATGTTACCACACCACACCCAGGGAGGGACGTGGGGGGGTGGTGGTTGTGCCAAGCATGGTAAGTTAGAAGGAGAAAGGCAAGTGTCAGAGCATTTCACTCCTATGTGGAACACAGGGAAACAATGTGATGAGCTGCTTTGAAGAAGCTCACTTTGGTTGTGCCATACCCTGGGGTTATTTCTTTATTTTCATTTTATTCAGCTTTGTGATGAACTTGAAATTATTCTTTGAACACTGCTTCTCTTGGCTCTGGTGACATCACAGTTCACTGTTGTTTTTTTCACTTAACAAACTGGGTCCTCATTTCCCTTCACCTGTGCTCACGGAGTAATGCGCGACAGACAAGTATGTATTGAAAAAGGAAACCACATCCCCAGGAGGTTAAGAGACGTGAAAGGTAGATATTAAAAGTCTACTATATAGGAATCCCAGGAGGCAAGAAAAGAGAGAATGGAAAGTAGACAATGAACAAAGCAGACTGAACAGCAGTTCTGTATTACCTTTGAAAACCTTGAAAGATTTCAGCATTCCAAGACAGATCAACCTGGCTCTGAGTTCTTAGGATAAGGAATTTATAAAATCTGATGTTAGATTGTGATTGACACTCTGGATGCTTTCATACACATCACATCATTCATGTCAACAGATGGCCTGCAAGAGGAGCAGGTAGCAGTGTCCTGCAGAAGAGCGGGCTCTGACCCAGGGGCTGGCTTCCCCAGCCTGTGGGTAGGCAGGGCCAGGAATCCCACAGACCTGGAAATTCCAGAGGGTTCCACAGCGCACAAGCCAGCTCAGCAGTGTCTCATATTGCAAGTGCCTTGCAAAGAGACTCTCTGCCTTCCTTTTTTCCTCCAAGACTGAGTTCCTCTTGGGCATTGCTTCTAGCAGAGTCTCTGAACAAATCTCTCATGAAAGGAAACATTTATACCATAGCGATACTTGACAAATCCTAATTTGAAAGAAGTCACCAGGGGTTGGGTCCCAGATGCATCTCTGTCCCAGTTGCCGATCTGCTAATATTTACCATCTCATTTTTTTGTGGGTAAGCCCCACTGTGCTTTGGGTTTCTTATCTGTTAAAATGGTGGAATCTGTGAAAATCTAAAAAAAGAGAGATTGCAGCAATGAAGGAGGAAACGTAGCAGGCATTCGCCAGTGTTTACCGTAGGAGGAGAGGGTCCCTATTCGATAACTTCAGCAGGTCAAAATGGTGTTCACAAAAAAAGAAGACTGAGCACTATAATCTCTTTCCTGCAAAAGGATTGTTCTGTGACAACCTGCTTTTGGCTTTGTCTATCTTAACATTTGGCTCATGTTTTGGCCTCCTTGACTATGTAGAGTCTTTCACGGAGAGCCTAGGAGCCGAGGTGTTTGTTCTTAAAGCTCTTGACTTTCTCATGACTTCTCTTACCTGCTTTCTCAGCCCCTGCGCAAACCTGAGTGGCCTTTTTGAACTTGAGAAACACAAAAGGAAGGGAGAGGGAAGCAAAGCAGAGAAGGCAAAGTCTGGAGAAAGAATAGGGCTGACATCAGACCATCTGCAGTGTTTTCTCTCTGTGGGCAGCCTGCAGTCCCTTCGTCCACTCCCTGGGGCCCTGCAGCTCTGTCAGGTGTGCTGAAGAAGGGCGCTGGGCTCACTGCCAGCACAGGCTGCGTAGCGCTTGCCTTGCTCTCTCTGCAGGAGTGAGCCTCGTTCTGCTGGCCTAACTGGTAGCTAGCGTGATCCTGCCCCTTCATTCAACCATAGAACAGGGAACGTCACTCTCTTTCTAAGGTGTCTTCCCCAATTCCTTTTAGTCCCCAATGTCTGGAGCACATGGGGCCTCAGAGCATGAGATACATTTGGGGGTTCATCAGTAACTTCTTTTTTTTAAAGATTTATTTATTTATGCATACAAGAGCTGGGGTGCAGGCCAGAGATGTGGGGGTGAGAGGATTCACCAGAGACAGAGCAGGAAACAGAACAGGCAGATCGACTGAAACACACTGCTGAGGGGAGCAGTGTGCGAGACAGGAGAGGTCTGCCGCGCCATGGGGGTAGCTCCCTGGCCAGCCGGGATTGAACTCGTGCTGCAGAGGCTGTGGACAGCCTCACAATGCTGGGACTTAACCCCTTGTGCCACTAGGGAGGCCCCAACATTAGTAACTTCTTCCCAAGCACATGCTTTCCTGCCTCCTTCACCCTGGTCCTGCCTTTCCTGAGTCCGAGCACCAGGAGTGGTCTCCCTTGTCTCCTGCCAGATCCACTCCTCTTTCTTTCTCCTCTTTGCCCAGTGCCTCCCGGCCAGAGCTTTAAAAAAAAAAGTGAGAAGGGGGAGGAGAAGGGAATGAGAAAACCCAGGCTATTGTGACTTACCAAGGATTTTTGTCAAAGATGAAAGTATTAAAATATACCAGGCAGAGATGGAAAATGGTGCTGTAAACTAAGAACACATGTTTCGCTTTAGAAAAGTAAAAATCACAGAGGATCATTTTGTTTCTATTTTGTGTGTTCCCCTTCTCCCTGTTTTCAGATGGTGGTAACACAAAATCAATAATAGGGGACCCGCTTCTTACCCCTTTATGATCTACAGTACCTTTCTACAACTTGAGAAATTCAGCGTTCCAGACAAATGGGCATCAGGTATTAGGGGAAGTACCTTTACTGCCACCCTCCACTCCGGACTTGGTGATTCTGATGGCCTCCCACCCTTGCTGCCCATCCATCCGTCCTGAACGCCTCAGCCAGATTAACAGTGAAAATCTAAGTCAAATCAAGCTCAAACCCTCCATTGAATTAGCCCAGTGTCCTTTCAGAGCCCCCAGTGACCTCCCACCCCCACTGCCTCTCTGACATCTGCCTACCAGCTTCCTGCTGTTCCCTGAACTGGGATGCACCCTGCATTCCCACCTCAGGGCCTTTGCACCTATGCCTTCCTCTGTCTCTTATGCTTTCCTCCAGAGAATTGAAGTCAGTCTCCTCATATAGGTCAGTCATTCCTCAAAGGGCATTTTCTTAGTGGGATTTACACTGACAGCATTTTCTAAAGCTGTACATCCCACCACACCCCTGTACACCCTGTCCTTAGCAGTTGAAGATCATCCTGGAAGCAATGGTCATTTTATTTCTCTTTGGATGGGAGGACAACTTTGCTTGAGTATCTTTGTCTTCTACTTTGAAATGATTGCCTCGTAAGTGATAATCTGTTCATATTTTTTTAAGATTTATTTATTTATACATACAGGAACTGAGGTGCAAGCCAGAGGTGTGGGGCACAGGGGGTTTGGTGAGAGGATTCACCAGAGAGAGTGGGGAGCAGAAAAGGCAGATGTACTGAAATACACTGCTGGGAGCAGCAGGCGACTCAGGAGAGGTCTGCTGCGCCATGTGGGTAGCTCCCTGGCCAGCTGGGTAATCCATGCTGCAATGGCTGGTGATAGCTTGATAGCTCTGTCTCTAACTAATCCTGCACCACCAGGGAGGCCCAAGTCATTCATATTCTTGACAGGGCCTCTCTGTGGCCAATGAATGTATGAGATCTGGAAAAAAGTGGATAACCTGTTCATATTGAACAATAAGATAAGTACTGGAGGATAGATGCCATGCGGATCCCATATAGATATGCAGGAATGGATACCTCAAGGCTCAAGTAAAATGAGTGTGTGTGCATGTGTGTGTGTTTCAAAAGTCCGTTCTAGGATTTTTGCCGATTCAGCATCCTGGTGTCCAGGAGAAATGACTCCACTCAACTCCTTTTTATCCATCAACAGGGTGGACTAAGTGCCCAAGCTTTTGTTCGTGTGGAAGTAGAGGACGTGAATGATAATGACCCTGTGTTTAGCCCATCAACCTACGTGACGAGCATCAGTGGCCAGATGCAGCCAGGCACTGAGATCATCAATGTCCTCGCCAGTGACAGGGACTCTGGACTATATGGAACTGTGACTTACGAGCTCATTCCTGGAGACTTGTCATCCCTCTTTGCCATCGACTCCACTACAGGTTTGTGAATTTGGCAGCATTTTACTCTGAAATCAGTAGCTTCTGTAGAGCAGGCAGAAAATTAGAAAAAGTGGTCTTTTTCCATAGTAAGGGTGTGGTAGGACTCACTTCACCTTCCAGAAGGCATCAAGATACATTGAAAATGTCAGGTCAGGTCAGTTAGGTCTGCAGCTGAGCCCCAGCTTTACCTCCAACTGAGCTAAGGCTCTTTGTTGGGACTCAGTCATCTGACCTCCAAAGCAGTATTAATATCCCAGTATTGCCAGGTTTATTTTAAGGAGACAAGGCAGTAAAGTATGAGAAAGAGCAGTTTTCATTCATTCATTCATTTTGCAAATGTTCATGTCCTGCCATGTGTATCAATGTGGTAATAGATGCTACTAGTGCAGAGTGCAAAGTGAATAGACATTAAGAGCAGACCCCTTCCTTATGCTCCATCAGGCCTTCCCTTGGTTAATTTGGGTCTTAGCTTCTTGTCTATAAAATGACATCTAAAGCTCCCTTTGGTTCTCTAATATGGCATCACATATCTGCCAACCAAGTCCATTGGGCATGGGTTCAGTGTTCTGTAGATGTCTGTTAGGCCCAAGTGCTCTAATCATTAGGAAAATGTTCTTTATGCCTTTTCACTCTGTGGGTAGTGTTCTTACTTTCACACAGTAACTGTTATTTTGTGTTCTTAGTAGAGTGTCTTCAAATGGTATCTGATCAACATTTATATTTTTTATTTGTTCAAATTCTTAAATGATGCTTAATTAATGACTTAGGTACATTGAAAGAGGAATGGATCAACAAAATGTGATAAATACATACAATGAAAAGGTATTCAACCTTAAAAAAGAATGAAATTCTGGTATAAGTTACAACACATAAAACTTTGAAGACATTATGTAAGTGAAATAAGTCCGATATAAAAGAACAAATATTACGTGATTTTGTTTATATGAGTACTCAGAGTAGTCATATTTAGATACAGAAAGTAGAATGGTAATTTCAAGGGTTTGGAGAGAGAGGGAATGAGTAATTAGTGGCTAATGGATAATGAGTATGGAATAAAAAAATGTTCTGGAAATGACTGGTGGTAGTAGCTGCACAACAATGTGAATGTACTTAGATGACACAGAAACATACACTTTAAAATAGTTAAAATTGTAAATTTTATGTTATATTACCATATTCAAGTACATAAAAATTATATGTTACATAATAAAATTATGTTATTTTACAACAATTAAAAAAAGTGAAACTAAAAAAAGAAAAGAAATAACATTGAAGAGGTTACCCCTCCCTCCCCTTCCTATTGACTTGTTGCTAAAAAAATAATGTTTAAAGTATTTGTCTATAAGGGAAAATAATGTTCAAAGCATCTAATATTATAATAGTACTCGAGATATTAGAGACACTGTGGTCCAAAAATAAAGGTGTGAATTTTTCTTTAACATTGTTTTCTCTTAATTTTTTTTTCAATTTAATGTTATCTTATTGTAGTAAGAATGTTTAACACGAGATCTTCCCTCTTAAAATGTTAACTGTGAAATGCATTATTGCAGGCTGTCGGTGTATGTTTGTACAGCAAATCTCTTGATCAAATGAAACTTAGTGTCTTTGGATGAATAATGTCACCCTTCTCTTTCCCAGCTGGCTGGTCCCCAACAACCACCATTTCCTTCTTTATTTTGTGAATTTGACTATTTTAGATGACCTCTTATAGGTTATTAGAGATCAGTTACATAAATAGAATAATACAGGATTTGCTTTCAGTTACTGACTTATTTTACTTAGAATAATGCTCTCTTAGGTCATCCGTATTGTTGCATATTGCAGAAGTATCATCTTTTTTAGGCCTGAATAATATCCCACTGTATGCACACACCACATTTTCCATATCCATTCATCTACTGACAGACATTTAGGTTGTTTGCACTTCTCACTTCTTGGCTACCACGAGCACTGTTTCAGTGAACACCGGCAAGCAGCGATCTCCAGGTAGAATGTGTTTGTGACAATGATCACGTCGGGTATTCCATTAGGCATTTTCTATGCATTGTATTATTGATCTTTACAACATCCTTGGCATGGAACAATATTCATTAGCAACAGACAATAATTTGCACAGGAAATCTAATCTACCAAGTCAGTTTGCCCTCTCATCCAGCCTGGTTAGGGAGAGTCACTATTTCTTGCCTGGAAAGTGCACTTCATCTGGTGTGTGTGACTGTGTGGGGGGCTAGTTGTTTACAATGGACGTCTGGATAAGGCAAAACTTTCCTTGCCCAAAATAATCCACTGACGTGGCCCCTTTAACATTTTCAAAGATCAGAAGAAAATACTATTTTAGGAAATTAGTCTGCTTATCTTGGCTTTTTCAAAATTCATCTAAACTGAAGACCTTAACTGCTTGTCAAATTGTCAGGCCCTCTAGGCCAATAATGTTGCCAAATATATATAGGTCAGCTAGTAATCAGGGCACACGATCTAAAAGCATTTGGGGGATTGTTTTTAACAGACATCAACACACCCACCGTCTAGTTTCCCCTGGAAGATCTTGGAGAATGAGCTGTACCGTGTTCTGTTTTTAGAAGTGATCTGTGTCATGGTCCTGGCTTCAGTCAGCCACAGGCTTCCATTCTTGGCACAGGTGTAGGACAAATGCCATTGTTAATCATGGAGAACATTTTACTTGGGTCATTATCTAGGCAAATAGCATGGTATTGTTTTTTTCTTGAAGCAAAGACCATATTCGTAATGGAAGTAGCCCTGGGTGGTTATTGTTGGCCATTTTGATGCTGGTGCATTTAGATTGAAGACATTTCTCTGTCTTCCAGTGCTTAGAATTTGGTTGCACTTAATCATAACTTGTGAGACATTTATGAGGCCTGATAGTGCTTTACTTTAACCTTTACAAGAGAATTGAGCAGCATCTTGACTTACTATGGGAAAATGTTACCCAGTAAACAGGTGGTCTCCAACTTGTACAATTGAATTCAAGTTCACCTGTTGGTTGCCTGCAACGCAAAATACATTTTCTGTATTGTTTGTAATAGTTAGAATTTCAGGTCATGATGTAAAAGCTAATTTAACTGCTGATGTTCTCAACGAACACGATGAAGAGTTGTATTGGAATGTGATTTTCTGAATCTGTGTTTCTGTTGTAACCCAGATAAAACCATTTCCACCAAAAACGCCTGTCTCTACAGAGGCTGCCAATGTAAACATAGTCTCAAGAAGTTGCCTCTATCAATAAATATTTGTGGAATAATGTGAATAAATGATATCTACAAGTGATTGAAAAGTTGCAGCTTCTTAACAGTATGCCTTTGATAATATAGAGCAAAATTATCCCCATCATAGCACGGGTGATGTTCCAACCTGACTTTCCCATTTCCTGTAAACTCTCCCAAACTTTCTCTTTAGCTTGACTGTTTGGGTACTTTTCTTGACATATATACTAAATATAACCTCCCCTCCCCCCCCCACACACACACAAGCACACACAGTTGTGTGTGTGCTTGTGTGTGTGTATATATATATATTATTATATATATATTAATATATATATATTATATATATATATATAAGCATATATATATAAGCATGTATACACACACACACACATATAGTTATGTAGTATGAGGAGGATATTGAGAACTGATAAGCTAAATTATACATCGTCTCTTCTTCCTGAGGCTCTAAAGTCTCTTGGAGACACACAACTGGTTCATTCATCCCGTCACTTTGATGCCCTATCAGACATGCTATTTTATAAGCTTATATTCTTTGTGCTGTGGCCCTTGTTTTCCTGAAGACAAGGGATTTCTTATTGATCTGTTGTTGTACCACAACCAAGATGCCTGCATTAAAAATAGAGCTCTCTGGCTTCTTGTGTTCATCTGGTTAGGAAAAATGTTTTGGAGAAAACTGAAGGGGGTGCAGCCTCTCATAGTTGTTTTCTCTTGTGGGTTTATCTTCCTGTTCTGTTTCTGGTTTTCTAAGTTTGTTGTTGGTTCAAGGAACATTTTTGTAAAATGTGTTTGGGCACCAGGAGAGAGATATTGGATTGAGCCTTCGTTTCTCTTATTCTCGGCTAGTTGGGTTCCTTTGATGTGGGCACGAGCCGACCACACTGTTTTGAGTTTGAAAAGGAGGAAACACAAGAGGCATATTTATTAATAGCTCTTTTTTTCATGCGCCTTTAATCCTATTTTATGAATTATGTGTAGATTTTTTCCCTCTACATTGTTTGAAGTATCTCCTAGTAGCATGAAAAGAACAGTTCTTTAGCTTTTCTTCTTAACCATTTATTTAGTAATTTGCACTGAAACATGTGTCCTTTCTAATTCTGATAATTTTAAATTGACAGGTTCCAAGCATTTATGTTGATTATTTATTGCTGTCCAACGACTTCCTTTGCTGGGCTACCTGTGGTTAAATTCTTGTGGTCTGCCTCTTTTTATAGAGGCAAATTAATGGTATCAAGACAAGCTAATAAAGGTTCTCAAAAAACAGTAACTTATCTATTCAAGGCAGAAAATGGAAGCAATGTCATTCTTTCAGTATGTATTTATCCAGTGCTTATTATGTACCAAGCATTGTTATAGGTGTTTGGGATACCTCAGCAAATAAATAAAAAAAAATCCTATCATAGAGCTTGCAACAAAAGCTTATGTTGCCTGTCTATTGTCTGTTCTCTGTTTAGTTGTGATGTACACAGATTCCAAGTTTAGCACTACAGAACAAGAAATTAACAAGCCAGGGCAGCTATACCTCTATGTCTTGTAATCTTTTGTTTGCCTGGGGTGTGTAGATTTTAACACAGACCCTAAGTAATGTAGTACAAACTCTCTTTTTCTGTATTTCAAGGGCAGATTCATTTCTAATGTTGGTTTTTATGCTCGGATTTCAGGCCCTGTAATGATTATCATAATTCTTTATGATTACCACTTTCCTCCTCTTAGAACATTCTGATATGGAGTTAATAAATTAATACCATACCTCATTTTAAAGCACATCAGCCTGCTCAGCTAAAAAAGATGGCTTTCTTTTATTTGCAAAACAGAGACAAAAACTGATCTAATCATAGCATCTATTCAATGTATGTCACCTTCATAGGAAACAAAAGCATGTTAGGGATTTCTCAGTAGTTTTTCCAGCCAAAAGTTAGATTCTTGTAGGTGGAAGCACCTTTACAATTCAGTTTCCTCACCTAATGGAGGAGAAAAAGGACTTTGAAAGGGATGTGGTGACTTACCTCTATCACTGTTGGTAAGTAACAGAATTGGACGGGAGCCTCATCCTAGATCTGTGATTTGTCCTTCTCCTGCCCTGTCTCAAATAATGTCAATGTCTTTTTCATTTATTGCCTATTGGAGCATTACATCAACTTACAGAAATAAGCAAGGTCGATATTTTTATGCCCATCTGCAAATTAAGAGACTGAAGATCCCAAGAGTTTAGTGACGTACTGAAGGTCACAGTAGTAAACCTGATACTTGAATTTACTTCTGTTAACGCCCATTTCAAGGCTCTTGCCATTATTATGACTTTTTTTTAGAACTAAAGACAAAACTAAGATAAATATCATTTCCATTGATTCAACTAAATGAGACAGAAAAATGACCTCTCAGTGTGATTTCTATAAAAGCCTGTTTAAAATGCCAAATTATTTGTTGATTTATTCTCTCGTCTCAATTGAATCAACAGAGAAGCCAGTAGACTCTTCCAAAATGAGTACATTTTTCTTAAGAATTGTTTTTCGTTGTCAATATGAGATAGATTTTTGATTTGAATCATAGCAACTTGGTTATCTAAATTTGTGTGCAAACTAAATAGCATAATGTCTTCTTTTTGATGAATACGTTTCTGTATTTTCACAAACTGAATATAGTGGAGGAATTATAGATGTCAATAGCCAATACAAAATTGGTATTGATGCCCCATAGTTTGTATTTTATTTTCTTTTGAGAAAACTCCACTTACAGACTGAAGAGCATGCTTTTATTTATTTATAATTATTATTTTTTATTTTTACATCATCGTTCATTTTTTTTAAAGATTTATTTATTGACACAATACAGAGACAGAGCGGGGAGCAGAATAAACAGACAGACCAAAGACACTGCTGAGGGGAGCAGTGGGCAAGGCTGGAGAGTCTGCTGCAGAGGCTGCAGACAGCTTCACAGCGCGGTGCTCAACCCGCTGCACCACAATAAAAATATTGTTCATTTTTAAACAATATTTGCTTCCCCCCACCCCCTCAGGTGTAGTCCCCATAGAGTTTCCTTCCCCAAGGCACCTGTGCACCATCACCTCAGTCCCCTGTGCTCCTCCCTCCCTCTCTCTGATCCCTCTCCCGCCTCCTCCCCTGCAGGATGTCTCTGGTTTATAATTGTCCATTTTTGCTTTGTTGTGTTTTGAACTGTTATTTTTTTTTTACACTGATGTCTTATTGGGTTCCCCTATATTCCTGCTATAAGTGAAACCATCCGATATTTTTCTTTTTCCTTCTGGCTTATTTCACTGAGCATAATTCCTTCTTGCTCCATCCACTTTGCTGCAAATGGCATGAGTTTATCTTTTTTGATTGCTGAATAATATTCCATTGTGTATATATGCCACATCTTCTTGATCCAGTCATGTATTTTTGGGCATATGGGTTGTGTCCAGGTTTTATCTATCGTAAATAGTGCTGCAATAAACATAGGGGTACAGGTGTTCTTTTGAATCAATGTTTTTGTGTCCTTTGGGTAGATGAAAATCATGCTTTTGTGCTTAACTGCCCCATAGCTTACTTGTTAGTAATGGCCTGTAGTATATTTTCCTACTATAAATTATTGAGTGGGCATCACCTTTTTTATGCCCAGAAAAATGATAAAACTGTTTGCCAGCTTCTTATAAACTGGAAAAGCAGCAATAATTCTTCATCAGTATTTATCACCTGTTACTTGTTTTTTAATTCTTTCTCCTAACCAGGAATTATTTACTTAACATCGACTCTTGGCCACCTGGAATCTACTGCCCTTCTGTTGATGGTGTGTGCTCGGGATGGTGGCGGACGCTCCTCCCTCATCAACGCCGACATCACCATACATGTTCTTCAGACAGCTCTGGCTCCCGCTGAATTTGAAAGGCCTAAATATACTTTCTCGGTTTATGAAGATGTGCCGAAAGACAGCCCTGTCGGAACAGTGAAAGCAAAAGAGTCAAGTATGTGCTTACTTCTTACCCTGCATTGAATCCATTACCGTAGCACTTCCTGGATTTCTTGGATGCCACAACTTACTAAAACTTTCCTTGTCTCCATGCAGAAACAGTGAAGGGAGAACACACAACCTGTGACTTGATTTTTGTTTTTTCATCATTATTTCTGTCTAATCATTTTTTTTCCTAATCACAAAATAGGTAACTTTTAAAAGAATGTTTAAAACAATGCAAATAACTTGAATTTACATAGCATCTATCTTCTGTAACACACTCCCCCAAACACATACACATGACACACACACACTTAAAAACTATTTTTACAAAAAATGCATCTTACTATCTTTGTTGTTCTGTAATGACCTTCCCTCTCCCTTTGTCTATTGTGCAGTTTGCAAGGTAACTGTGTAACATTGTCTTATTTAAAGAAAAAGTGAACAAAAAAGTTTCCATGTTATTTTAACTTTGATATAAAATACATTTGACCTAAACCCTTTTGCTGCTCCCAGTTTGAATGGTGTGCAGTGTCTTGCGAGTACAAGCTGGACTCTCACAGAACCAGGACTTGTGGGGGTTTCTCTGCAGGATCCACCCCCCGAAGTGAGTTGCTGGTCCAGAGAGCTGGTCCTGCTGCTGGTAACTCCCCCTTTCTCCATCCTCTCACCCTTTCCTCAACTTTTGGAGAGGGTATTTGCCATCCATAAGTAGGTAGCACAGAGAAACATCAACGTAAGCATGACTTGGCTTCCTCAAATACGTATAGCTGGTGCCCAAACACTTGGCTGAGTATCTTTCCCTTTTACCTAATGCAAGAAAAATGAAGGAAGACAGTGAAACCTGCAGCTGGCTCCTTACCTATTAGAGATTACCTTTGTCCTGTAACACCCCTAAACCTTGTGTCCGCTCTTCAGCGGGCTTTGGAGAGCTAAGGAGGACATAAGACATTGCAGAGGAGGCATCATAGATGCATGTATATGAAGATTGTCTGTTTTCAGCATTTCCAATAGATACATCCTTTGGACATGCAGTGATTACTCTCCCTCTTTTTTTCTTTCCTTGTATTTATTTATTTTTTTCAGATTCCTCAGAGCCCATTTTTTATAGAATTTCCTCTGGCGATCTGGACAGAAAGTTCTCCATCCACCCGTGGCTGGGCATCATTCGAACCCAGAAGCCTCTGGACCACGAAACGCAGCCGGTGGTGGTGCTCACGGTCCAGGCACAGCTCGGCAGCTCCCCGGCCTGCGGCAGCACAGAGGTCAACATAACCGTCATGGACGTCAATGACAACGGCCCGGTGTTCGCCAAAGCTTCTGACGAGATTCAGGTCTCCTCCACCATCTGGCCAGGCACAGCCTTGTACTGGGCGCGTGCAGAGGACAAAGACAGTGGGCGCAATGGGTTCATCCGCTACTCCATCACCGGGCAGGCCCCCGGCCTGTTCTCCATCGATGCCGGGCTCGGGGTGCTGTACCTCAACGGCAGCCTGGAGGCAGCCGTGCCCCCAGCGCACGTGCTCACCCTCCTGGCACAGGACCTTGGCGACCCCCCACGGGCGTCCCACTTGGTGCTGACGGTGGTCATCCAGAAACAACGACCAAGCCCACCCTTGGCCTTCGCCAACCTGGTCTATCATGTGGAAGTTAGTGAGTCTCTGTCCCCGACGACCCAAATCCTGCAGGTGCAGGCCCAGCCCCTGCGCCCAGGGCGCACGGCCTCGCAGCCCCGCTATGCGCTGGGGGCCGGCCGCGACGCTGTGGGGTTTGGCATTCACCCCGAAACCGGGTGGATTTATCTGCGACGACAGCTCGACTATGAATCGACGCAAACATACCATTTTAGAGTTTTTGCCCGGATCCTGGAGGACAGACGGTCGCACAATGTGAGCACTTCGGTAATTGTGCATGTGCTGGATGAGAATGACAATCCCCCTGCCTTCTTGCAGGAGGTGGTGTTTCTGAAAGTCGAGGAGAGCCCCCTACCCCAAGGGGTAATAGGCAGAATTACAGCAAGTGACAGAGACTCGGGAAAGAATGGACAGCTGTCGTATTTCCTTTTGTCAGATGGAAAATTCTTCAAGATGAATCCAACCACAGGTAGCCTATGCAGCTTCCACTCACTCCTTTAAAATTGGAATTGACACAACTCAAACCTTGCAACATTAGTACAAACCTATAATTAAAACTCCACTTTCCTAGAAAGTGTGTTGATGCTAGATTTGTGATTTTATAATCTAGAATTGTGACTTTAAAAGGAAGTAACTGTTGAATAGAATTTTACCCATAAAGTTTTGTATTTTTTCTTGCTTTGCATCACTTTTTGCCAATATGTGATTCTTACTCTGGATTAGCCATACAGGCAGAACTGGATAGTCTTTTTTTTTTTTTTTTTTGGCCAACTCTCCTTTTCATTGTAGCTATTTTTAAAAAAATGTTTTTTTTTTTTTTTAATAGAGGCATGTTTTATTTATTTATTTGTTTGTTTGTTTTGTTTATACATGCACTGGGTACAGTCAGAAGTGCGGGAGGGTGAGAGAATTCACCAGAGCCAGAGCAGGGAGCAGAGCAGGCAGAAGGACCGAAGCACACTGCTGAGGGGAGCAGAGGGCGGCAGGAGAGGTCTGCGCGCCATGTGGGACCCTCCTCAGGTGGCCGGGGAGCAGCCGGGGATCAAACCGGCGCCGCAGAGGCCGCGGGCAGCTTCGCAACCCAGCGCTCAACCACTGCGCCACCGGGGAGGCCCTAAAAAAATGTTTTGAGCCTTTATTTATTTATTTATGCACACAAGAGATGGGGGGGGTAAGAGGATTACAGGCCAGAGATGTGGGGGGTAAGAGGATTCACCAGAGACAGAGTGGGGAACAGAACAGGCAGACTGATGAAATACACTGCTGAGGGGAGCAGCAGGTGAGTCAGGAGAGGTCTGCTGCGCCATGTGGGTTTCTCCCTGGCCAGCCGGGGATAGAATTCGTGCTGCAGAGGCTGTGAATTGCTTCATAGTGTGGTACTTAACCCCTTGCACCACCAGGGAGGCCCATTGAGCCTTTTTTTTTTTTAATAGAAATGTCACTGATGTAAAACTAGAAATCAACCCATTAATTAAGATCTCAAAGTCACTATTTATTTCCCCCTTCTCATTTTGATAAGAGAAACATATTGAAAGAGCAGATATTTACAGAAAATTTTTCCAAGTAATTCTGAAATTAAATATAAAGATGTTATTATACTGAACCTTTGATGTGGCATAAAGTTTCAAGGCCTCTATTTAATCCCTGCAACCACCTACATTAATGTTCCTGCTGCTCCTATACCACTGGAGACCCCAAGACTCAGCTAGCTCGGAGCTTGAAGTACATGAGTAAGTCACCACTATGTCCCCTTTATTGATGTCCTTCATAGCCTGTCAGTGGTGCCCCCTGCCCTGTAGTGCAATGGAATTGAATTCTGTCAAAGACCCTGATGTGTGAATCAGGAAAAGGTGCCCCTCTGTCTGGTCTGTGGCACGCCTGTCCTCCACATCAAGGCCAGTCCTGCTAGAGCTGGGGACTCCAGCTCTGTGGACATCAGCCAGGCCCACCCCAGGCTACGCCTCGCTGCCTTTGCACCACTGACCTCCAAACAGCTGCTGCTTGTCAACCAGCATTGGTTCATCCAGTGAAAAAGTATTTGCCATTCAGGATTTAGGGTTTTCAGAGGAAAATGACAGTTTGGAACTTTAAAGATATGGTGGTTTTATAAGTGATATTTATAAAAATCACACTTATGAGTACTCTATAAATATAGTTGATGTAGCAAGGAGTGTAGATGCAGTAGACACTGCATTTAACTCTTGAATTCTGCAATTTACCCAATTGGGAATTTTCTTTTTTTATTCCCTATTTCAGCTTTTTGTTTTCTTTTTTGCATGCTGTCATTTCCTTTGTATTAAGAAGGCAAAAGCTCTCAAGATGGCAGTGTTAGAGCTGGTGGTTGTTTCATGTGAGCTTTCTCACAATTGGTTATTTTTTAAAACAGTGGAGAAATCCACACCTGCACAACTCTGCTGTAGGAGGTAGACGATCCTACAGGAGAGAACACTTGACCTCCACACCTTGGCGATAGATAGAGGCAGCTACAATTTTATGTCTGAGTCTCGTGGCTGAAACATGAGTGAAATTGGCCAGGAGACAGTTCCTAGCAAGAATATGTAATATAAGACTTGTAAAGCTTTAATTGGTATTGGCAAAGTCACTGGCTATACATATATTTCGTGATATAAAAGGAAGTAACTGTATACATAAAAGATAAACGTTGGCTGAAGAATTTATTTGATTTCAGCGAAGATAGTTGGCTATTATTTTAAAGTGATGATAACGACTACCACCTGTGTAATAATTCACAGCCTACAAAACAGTTTTAAATTGTGATTGCATTTGTTTGTGATGGGCCTGGGAAGTCAGCTCAGAGGGGACCTGCTGTTTCTGCTGTAGAGAATCTGGAACCAACTCAGCTTGTGAGGTTCTGTCCAGCAGATGAAGAGGAAAATGCCCCGATTGTGAATCATGTGCGTAATTATGACGTTTTCCCAGAGCACTTTATTTTTTGTTTTCACCAACTGATTTTTTTTCAGTTTAAGCGGTTGATGGCAGACAATCTGAAATGCAAGGAGTGACAAGTTTAAAGTGGCATTTTCACAAAAAACCTCAGAAAATCCTCTCAACAGTAGAGCCAAACTGCTAGTACACGTGGTTTTGGAAGTTGTGCTTTTGCACCAGAGCTTTTTATTTGATTTTCTTTTCTTTGAATTTGTTAGGGGAGGGTGTTCAGGATGGACAAGTTCTAGTGCATGGGGTCAGCCCCTTTCCTTCTGCTCTCTGCTCCTCAGGCGAATTCATCAGTTGGGTGGCCCTGGATCACGAGCATCAGGGACACCATGAGGTGACCGTCCTCGTCACTGACCATGGCACCCCGCCGAGAAATGCCACCATCTTGGTTTATGTCTCAGTCACCGACATCAACGACAACAGACCTTATTTCCCACAGAGTCTCCCGGGAAAGGAATTGCACATCAAGGTTTGTGGAGTGAAGTGGCGTCCAAACCAATTCGTAATATTCTTAGTCATTTGTTTTGAGCACCATCTTGTGGTAAAAAGTGTGAATTTATCAAATCAGTCTTGGTTGGGAAGACCTACAAATTGTGCACAAGTCAAAAAGAAATACCATTTTGAAAAAAGAAAATGGTTCTAGGTGCTATTTGAGATACACCTCCAGTTGTTTTATACCGTAGAGCCCTCATCATCTATGAACGTAAAGGTGACTCATCAGCAGCAATGCTCAGCTGGGGTCATCTTTCCAGGAAATTGCACGCATCTCCTAGTGCAGAGCTCAAGGATGGTTAATGTGGGGGATGTTAGTGGCTCAACGTGGAGAGATGTAGCTCTTGAAATGGTGGAAGCTGATCATTGTGAGCACACACAGAAGCTTCTGATTATAACGCATCTTTTTTTAACACATCTTTTTAATGCATCTTTTTCATTTCCATGTCTTTGAAGTCTTTATAATGTACATTATACATTAGCATGTAAGTCCATGTGTAATAAGTATATCTTGGAGGTACTCATGAAAGTGTGGGTTATGGGACTGAAAATTTGAGAAGCTACTGCTCCCAGTGTTTGAATTGGATGTTCACATGGCACTCATGCATATTGAACAATTCAACAAAGAAAGTTAGTAACTTTAAACTCATCTAACAAAGCTACATTTAGAGAAAATTCTGCCAAAGTAAAACATTATGATATTGTCATTATGATTTTTGGTTATGTCATTAGATGCTCATATGAACAGTTGAAATGCACACGTCAATTTCCATATTCCTGACAGTGATTGTTGATTATTGAGGTATGTTTCCTGTGTGGGATATATTTTCTGAAGTGTAGTTTTATATTGATATGTAGCATATTTTGGACCATACCAACAATCCTTCAAACATATTCACAGGAGGTAATAAGTGAAAAAATGCTAGTATTCTTAAACTAATCCAAAATCTAAGATTGGTGAATTAATTCAATTTACATTTTTTAGAAAATCAGAATTAGTTCAATTGCCCCAAACAATTCATTGAAATTGATTTAAAGCTTTAATTTTGTTTTGTGGATTCTTTGCATGGATTTAAACCCATATAAGTTTTTATAGACACTTGAATAAGATGTGGATTTACAAATAATTTAAAATGTCTAGTAGTTATGTATTCTTTTATTTAAAAGTTCGTTGATACTTCTTTTTTAAAATTTCTGTAATCTGTAAGTCATTTGTTTTAATGACAGGTTCTGGAAGGTCAACCTGTAAATATGTTGGTTACCACTGTGTTTGCAAAGGATCTTGATGAAGGAAACAATGCAGAAGTTATATATTCAGTATCTCCAGGTAAAAGTCACCGTCCGTAAAGAATGAAGAACCTTAGAATCTCCTCTTTTGTCTATCAGCTATCTCCTTCTCTGAAAATAGTTGAATTTGAAAATAACACCAAATTACAAATGAAAATGTATTTATTATCTTCTGAAATCATCTTAATTAAAAAAAAAATTTGAGGCTTTTCAGCATATATTTCTGAATGTTTGGAATATTGTTTCTATTAAATTACCTTATAAATGATAGCAATATAAAATAGATAGATGATATATATTATGTAATTCATTATTTTCACTTCCTGTAAATGCAAGATAGAGACAACTATAAAATATAAGATTAAATAACAAACTAAAAAGCTATATAATGGGAATTATATAATGGTATTCCTGTGAGAAAAAAAAAAAGGGTCAAAGCTTAGAAATCACAACTAAGAAATGTTACACAAGTTCCTGTCTCCACACTCTGACTTTCTTAAAGGCAGGAATTCTTTTTTTCATTTGTTTTTATAGCTGCTACTAGTAAAGTTTCTGTTCCATGCTAAGACTCATCAGCTGTTGAATAAAAAAAAATCAAAGCGTTTCCAGATGAGGATTTGCCTGGATTTTTTGGATTGTTTGAAGTATTTAAATTTTATTAGAGGATACAACTCTTTTATTAAACTAAGAACTATGGTAATAAATCTGAATTAGAAGTATCAGAGTGGACTCATAACATATTGTAGTGTTTGTATGTGTGTATTCTCGGACCACTGGAAAAGTTTTAGAAACAGTAAGTACCCTCAGAATGTGGTCTACCAGAACCACGTTCCACCAAAAAGAACTAGGTGTCCTTGGAGAAATGGCTGACTCCAGGTCCAGAGCAGGAAATCTAGATCAGTTTGCAGCACCTTGTACTAGCAGATGCAAGAAGGGTATGAGGATCATATTAGAAAGACTCAAGTGTCATCATTAAAAGGATCCCATTTTCCAGAACCTCCCTGGTGGCGTAAGGGGTTAAGTCTCAGCACTATTAAGTTATCTGCAGCCACTAACCCACATGGCACAACAGACCGCTCCTGTCTCGCCTGCTGCTCCCCTCAACAGTGTATTTCAGTCCATCGTCTGTTCTGCTCCCTACTCTGTCTCTGGTGAATCCTCTCACCTGCCCCCTGCACCTCTGGACTGTACCCCAGCTCTTGTATGCATAAATAAATAAATCTTAAAAAAAAAAAAGCTGATCCCATTTTCCAAAGATGAGACAATTTGAACATCAATAAGATTATTAATGGGAATATATTGAAGCCTTCTCATACATATATATTTATGCTTAGTGATTGTTAATTATCTAGTTGGCACACTGGAGGATATGAGTGAACCAGTCTGTCATTTTGAGAACTATTAAAGTGTAACATCAAGCATTTAGCCTGACTCTGCTATAATGAACTATTCCACAGGGTTACCACCAAGAAGAGGAGAGGGAGTTTCTCTTCATGAATATCATCTAGCTAATGTGAAAAAAAAAATTCCATAGAAAAGATTTTTTAAGAGCGGTTATGTTTCTTGTCTTTATGTTTAGTATTCTTTTTATGTTCACATTTTCATGGAGCATAAGGTACATTAATCTTCCAAATGAACACAGATATATTTAGATTGATTAATTCTGTTTTCTGCATTGTCAATTAACACTCGTTTTTTTAATCTTTTGTATGTGTGTATAGAAGATAGTTCTGATCACTTCAAGATTGATGCCAACAGTGGTGAAATAAGAACAACCACAATACTTTCGTATGATCATAGACCTTCTTATAGGATGACTGTCATTGCCAGTGACCAGGGAGTGCCTCCTCTTCAAGGACAGGCAGTGATTAATATTCAGGTAGTGTCCCGTCATTACAATAAAATGTGAAAGGATACCCTACAGGTTTCATTTGATTTATATTCAACCATGTAAGGTAAAGATACAGCAAATCGAGAATGCCATTTTTAGAGAGAGTTGCACATATACATGTGTCTTTTTATCAGCACTAGAGAAATGATAAGACACAAGTAATTTTTCATTTCAGCCTTGTTTGTTTCCCGACAAGATGCTTAACTTCATTGCTTTATGGGCATTTATGTTTCTTTGTTTATGATGAACAAAATGAATGGGTCTTTACTTTTTCCTAATTGCAAGGACCTGATCAATTTGTAGGAGAAATGTGTATGTAAACAGATGGCCAATAATAAATCTCACATTTTTATATATTATTTTTAAACTCAGAAAAGTCACTTGAGATCCATATTTTAAGGCTTTACTTCAATCATACTGAGCAAACAAGTTGTGGGAAGTCTTCATAGTAGGAAAAAATTGCATCAATCAGTCAAAAATGAGATGATTATACAAATCTGTATTTCCTTGTTCATGCACATGATAATCAGTAAATTAATATTGGTATGTATAATAATCAAGATTACATAGCCCTAGAGTTCTGTTTCAAAATTATAGTCTTTATTGGTTAAGGATATGAGGGCTAGGAGAAAATTCAATATTGTAAGACCTCTAGTATCTGGTTTCAGGTAAACATAGACACGTGAGACTCAGATGTTGTCATTATGGATATATTGATCTCCAGGATTAAGAATAATTCTCAGTGGGTCTCCCCGATGGTGCAGCGGTTGAGCGCTGGATTGCGAAGCTGCCCACAGCCTCTGCATTGCCGGTTCGATCCCCAGCCACCGGGCGAGAATCCCACATGGCGCGCAGACCTCTCCTGCTGCCCACTGCTCCCCTCAGCAGTGTATTTCTTCAGTCTGCCTGTTCTGCTCTCCGCTCAGTCTCTGGTGAATTCTCTCACCCTCCCGCGCTTCTGACTGTACCCAGTGCTTGTATAAATAAATAAATAAATCTTAAAAATAAATAAATAAAAGTCTTTTTAAAAAAAACCTGCAAAGATACCATTCAAAGCACTATTTTAAAAAAATAATAATTCTCAGTGGCGGCTCAAAAGGCTACAATTAGAGCATGGCCTCACCAACTATATTTCATACATTACAGCAAATGGGAAGTTAATGCATTTTGTAGGTTTTGTGGTTTTTTTTAATCTCCTAGATACTATGCAATTTTCCATCTTCAGAGACATACTGGATTTTTTTAATATAAAAAAATTTTTCTCACCAACTAACATATTGTAAATTACAAAAATGGAAACCTTCCAAAATAATATCATAGCATGTATTGATTCAACTGTTATAAAGTACCCCAGATGAACCGCTTCTATTTATTCTTATTTCAGGTGATACCACTATCCAAGAGGGGAGCCGTCCTTTCTCCGAATATTAGACATTTAGTTATACCAGAAAACTTGAAGCCCTCAAAAGTAATAAGCTTGATAAAGTCACCTGATTACCTTCATCGCCATCACACTGGGAAGCTGCATTTCAGTATCGCTGAAGAGGATAGGAACAGTCACTTTGAAATTGACCACACAACGGGAGACTTGTTCCTTTTGAAGGAACTTGATTATGAAATGGCATCTCATTATCTTTTCAGGGTGGTTACCAAAGACAGCAGCAAAAACCCTTCCCCGAACAGCACAGTCTTCCTTAACATCGATGTGGAAGATCAGAACGACCATTCCCCCTCCTTCCAAGATGAGTTCATTGTGATAGGCGTGGAAGAGAATGTGCCTGTAGGAACATGGGTGCACGTCTTCAATGCCCAAGATGGTGATGGCAGTTTTCTGAACAGTCGTATACAATACTTCATTGACGCCTACCTCCCTGGGGTGAATCCATTCCTCATCCACCCCTCCTCTGGCACATTAGTCACAGCGTCCCCCCTCGACAGAGAGAAGGTTCCCACGGTGTTCCTGATGGTAACAGCTTCCGATCAGGCTGTGAACGTGACAGACCGGCGAGTGAAATCACTGATAGCAAAGGTAGTGATTTTGGATGTAAATGACCACAGCCCCACTTTCATGTCGCCCCCTCTTGCCCACATCAATGAGGACGCCGGGGTGGGCTCCTTGGTGCACCGCATAACTGCTGAAGATCCAGATGAAGGAAGGAATGGAAGAGTCACATTCAGCATCCTCTCAGGAAACGAAAACATGGCCTTTATGCTAGATGAGTCCTCAGGTATCTGATATGTCATTGACAGTTAAAGCTTCTGATCATTGCTTACACTCATAACTCTGCTGAAATGATAATTCTCAGAATGCACTTGCTCTAATGAAAATTCACTTCATTTATTGTTCATCTTACTTATGTGCTAGGCACAGAGGCTCTATTCAGAGAGCCCCTGGAATTGGCCTGTTGGTTAGTGTTGACTGTACTTTGTGACTAGCTCACGCTCCATGGGATAAGTAGACAGTAGCAAATGTCTTTTCTTTGCCCCCTTTCCTTGTCCTCCCATTGAAGAGACACCACCAGGAGCGAAGCGAGGCAGAGCGTGACTAATCAGCAACTTTATTCGAAGACTTTGGTATGGAAACTTACCTTTAAGATGGTGCAAACATACACCTGTAAATAGCTGGATTGATTAGGACGCTAAGGCCCTTATTTCTCACCTCAATTCTAACATGGTATTTCTAGCAGTATGTGTAGTCAGTGTCAGAAATTCACTTCACTTATCTTAATGTCACTATGTTGCCAGATCACCTTTACTAAAAGTTGTGAAGTAGTTTAATAGAAGATTGTATGTATAGTGTATCATTCTTATAAAGTTGGAAAGAAACTTCCCTCATTCTGATTTTCAGAAGATCTTGAAAAATGGACTACCATATCATTCTTTTAAAAAAAAAATAGAAGTTTCTATATGATGAGTTCAGATATATGTAGTTTGGCCCAACTGTTAGTAAGAACATTACTTGGAATGAGTCCGAATATGTAGGATTTAGAAGTCATGGTTATAGTCTGGCTGTATACTGTTAGAAAATTTCATCAAAATATTTATTAAATCCTGGACATATGGTTCTATTCTGAAGCTTGCGTGTGCACCCCCTAAAAGCTCGACTGACAGAGAGAGAGTCCAGACCCATTTGCTGATTTCTGTTTGGGCTGGGGTCTCCAAGGACCTATTTCAATGATATTTAAATGTTTTCCAAGATGGCTAGGGAAGGACTATTTCAGATTGTTAAAGAGGATGGATAAAATTAGAATTGTGTCTCAGTAATGTAGTTATCATGAATCTTGCACATTGCAGTGGCTGTTTCAGTTGAGATATTTTTCAGACATAAAATGGTAATTGCTGAATGCAGTCCTATGCAATGGGCTATTTGTTCTCTCATAAGGCTCTTAGAAAAAAGTTATAGTGAATCGTTCAATGGCTTTGGCGGTGAAGTATAAAATGATAAGTAATTTTGGAAAAAACTGTCTTATAAAATCTGAATCAGTAAACCTTATTAATCATTTGGAAAAAAGTTCTTGCAGGATGAGCAAGGGTTAAAGATGCAAACAGCCATCCCAAAAGAAAAAATATGACTTTGTAATCATGGACCAGCCACATGTGTTCAAGTCTTTGTAACCCTTTGCAGGAATGAATTCTGTGCTAAAGTGGCAGTGGAATGGTGATATGTTATATTCAGGAAGTTTATTGCCTGAGTTCTCAAGTCTTTACTAAGTTCTATTGATAAAGTAAGGCACCTCACTGAGAGCAAGTGTCAGGAGACTGTAACTCTTTAAGAAAATTAAATATCTTAAAGAATATGGCATGCTCATCTGTTTGGAACTCCATTAACTGTAACTTTTTAAAAATGAAGTGTCATTTAACATGAAGATGGTTACTGTTAGAACGTAGGTATGTTTTCAAAATCACTTTGATGTAATTCTTAGATAATGGTATATGAAAACTCATTTCTGAATTCTCATTCATCATTATAATTCAAATTAGGGTGACTTTTTGACTAAACATGCCCTTATTCTAGATAATGTGCATATTTAAAGTTGGTTTAATAGAATGTACAATTTAACAAGGGAAACTTCTGAATTTTTATCAAGTTAGATAAGTTAGACATATGTTAAGCAAGACTTCTCAAAAGAATATTTATTACATGTTGCTTTTCTCCTCTTTCCACACAGGTCTGCTAGCTACAGCTTTTCCTTTGGACTATGAAACCCAATCTCAGCACATTCTGACCCTTCTGGCCCTGGATGGTGGCATACCAGCACTTTCTTCAACACAGACTTTGACAATTTCCGTTCTTGATGTAAATGATGAGGCACCGGTATTTAAGCAACAACTGTATGAAGCTTCAGTTAAAGAAAACCAAAATCCTGGGGAGTTTGTCATAAGAGTTGAAGCTGTGGACAAAGATTCAGGTAATTTTAAAATACAGAAACTTGGTAATTGGTGCTCAGAATAAAAATTGACCTAATTTAATAACGCACTGAAACAATTTTAGAGAAGGTGCTTATTTTTGCAAATGTCTATTTCTTCAATTCACATTCAAGGGAAAAGACATACACGTAAAGAAAATGTGACCTTTTTATATAGCACTTGCCTGTTTGATCCTTATTATTGGTTATACCAGAGTGATACACCTCTAATTAACATACAAGTTATTGAATTGGTCTTGATAATAAACAGAAGTAGAGTCATGGTATCAAGTTGTAGTGGGAGTGTAATAGAGGCACTGAGTTCAAAAAGGTAAGTGGCGCTTTCTCGCTACATCACATGATGTAAGTTGCCTGGATTTGACTCCTGAAACTATCACTAATGCTATGTGACCTTGAATAATTTACCAGTCCTCTCTGTTCCTGTTGGTTTATCTGTACAATGAGCATAGTACTGGTACCTAATTTGCAGTTATGTTATGAATATGAAGTGTTACAGGAAACTGTTAAGGCCAATGTCTGGCACAATAAATGGTCAATCAATTCCTAGTATTACCATTATTACTGTTATTATTAATGTCAACCACTGTGTCCGACAATTGACTTTAAAGTAAAATGTTACTGTGTCTAGGAATCTGTATGTTTCTTGGAATTGCTTTTCAATATCGCTATGACTTTTTTGGCATTTGAGATTTAGTAACTCTTAAAATATTCTGGTTTTATTTTAAACAAAGTAATTATAAAAATTACAGTGAATTATTTGCCATTAATAACATGTGCTAATTCTTCCCACCTGAGTTAAGACTAATAGTTTAATAAGCCAGATTTTTAAAAAATTAAATTCATAACTATGTAGCAAGTGGAATTGCATAATCAATATATTTGTTCTTTTCTTTCAAGATTTATAATTGATAGTGTATGAAAATAACAGCAGTACCAATATAGTTTTCCTCCTAAATTGTTCATCAAAGACATAAAAGGTCTATCTCCTCTGGCTTTTAAACAGTGGTATACCATTAAGATGCTTTGTCCTTTTAAAAAATGCCATCTTCTAATGAATTGCATTTTACATGAATTGTATGTCATGCTATGAACACTTCTTTTCAAGGGCTCACCAAATTTTCTCTTTTGACCAGAGCGGGGCAGTGTGATCAAAGTTTTTCTTACTAAGCTCAAAGACACAGGACTAGAGCATGCTCACAATTGTTTGTCCAACCCATGTTAACTAATTTATTGAGCAGGTTTCTGGTAGCAAAGTTTTAGGGGTGATAAGAACAATTGACAATATGTATAAGCTTTCCGTTTCGCAATAACCCCAGTTCAGCAAGTCACTCCTAACAAGTTCTCCGGTGTGAGGGGAATAGCCAATCTGGGCATCAGAACCACTCCAAAGTGCACAGCCGTGCTGAGCTGTCACTGGTGCTCTGAGATTAGCAATGATTAACGTGCGCAAAATGCTCTGTCCCCTTGACCTGACTTTATTTTTTGGGCTACACCCCAGATCTTGTATGCATAAATAAACAAATCTTAAAAAAAAAAAAAGACTACAGAGAACAGATTTCATTTTCTTTAGTGTTTGAAGGAAATAAGAATCTCTCTCATTCTTCTCTTACATCAATTAACGATGATTAACATACATTTGCTCTCTGATTTTAACTGTCAAATTGCCTGGGGTTAGTGTTATTTTAGTTTAGAATGATTAGTCTTCAATCTGTTACTTAAATTGAGTTAAAAGAACTTTAGAGGTCTTGAGAATTTAGATGCAAAATGGCTGTTCTCTGACTTTGCATTTCTGGATGCTTCAAACATACATTAGCAGCTTTCTGCATCTCATGTGCCTTCACCTGTTTTGGAGACAGTTTTAGTTTCCTGGAGACCCCTGTGATTTTAATAAAGCCAGAACTATTAAGCGAGTGGTTATGTAAATGCATGTGAATTTATGTATATGCATGTGTTTTTGAACATATTTCCCCTCAATCCCCTGTTTTGTTTGTTTGTTTGACTTGTTGAGTTAAAACAATGAAAAAGGATTATGCATGAGCATTAAATGACGTAGCCAGGATTTTAGCATAACTGGCATCACATTGGAATTTATGAATGGTTTATAGTATGTATTTTTAAAAATACTATAGCATTACTTAATACTAGAAAGCTTAACATATGTTTTCTAGCATTCTACAATGCAGTTTTTCAAAATGTAAGCCTACAGTGTTTGGCATTCAAAACCCATGAGAATCGGAGCACTGAATGTTTATGATGTATGACTCACACTAGCTCTTACAGGAGTTTTTTTCTTGTATTAAAAGGGAAAAACAACTACCAGATTTTAACTAAGATATAAAAACTGCTGCAGTGTTTGGTGCCACCAACAAGAGCTCCATTGTTACTTAGAAAAGATCTGCCTTCAGGGCTCTCCTCCTGCAGTACCTGGGGGGAAAGAGGTTCTCACGAGGGGGGGACTTGCTCCTGCTGATAGATTTGCTCAAAAGTGGTGAATCCAAAATAATTTAATAGTAGATTACTTTACAAAAACATCAAATTATATAATGAGATCTTACTATGTAGGAAATAAAAACACATCTTCTTTACCTGGATTTATCTTGAATAGACTCTACATCTGATTTCCTAGAAAATGTCTTTCATTGGCGCCACAACCTTACCCAACACATGGAGTGAGAGAAAGACACTGCTGGGCAGTGTTTCATTGGATCTAAGGCGTACCATTAATTGTAAGATGCATCTAACTTCAGAAATGCGCAAATAAATATGTATGCGTGTTAATGAAATAGAGTAAATACTTTAGTCTTCAGAATACATAGTCTTTGGATTTACTTCTAGGCAGAGAGCTATCGATTTGATGTTCGTGGGAATTTAATGGCACCATTCTGTACCTTTCAGAAGAAGATTTATTTGTGAATATGCCAAAGAAAAAAAGGATAAAGATACTTAAAATATCTGAATGCATGACATTTTGTAATAATAATTTCTCATCTGTTGCCTGCTGTTTATTTTTAAGTCAATTTTGTAATGGAGAGGTGCCCCCCTTACATCTCCCACTCAGATAAAATATCCATTAACCCCTCTTTACTGATGTACTTTACCAGTAGTTCCCCGTTGACTGGCTCCCCCATTCTTTCACCAACAGCATTTGCCTCCAGCTTTAGATTCAGACCAATCTAGGGGTAAATAAAGAGAGCCATAGAATTCAAGCTCTAGTCAATCTTCCTAACTTTAGATTCTAATTATTGAAATTGTGCTGCTATCAGAATCTTAAAAGAGGAGTTTAGAGGTAGTTCAGACCATTGGGCATTTCAAAGGGTGAGGTCTTCATTCCTGGACCAGGGGAACATGGCTAGAGAAAGTCCCAACAGCTCCAAGTTGAAGCCACCACAACCCAGACTGCAGCACTTGTGCCACTGCTGTGCTGCTGTCCTGCTCGCCTGGTGAAGAGGTTGCCCCTCTCCATATTAATTCCCTGTATGTATATTCTTCTTATCACTGCACCTACAAAAAGGTAAAAAAGAAAGAAAAGAGAGAAGAAAGAGCACTCATAACCTCATGATATATGTATTATTTAACTGAACACATGATATTATACCTGTATAATTGTCTACCTATCTACCTGCCATCAGGACTATGCACTTCTATGGGTTAGGATCTGTTTCATTCACATTAATCCCAGGGCCTGGGCTAATACAAGCTCTGACAAAGGAATTTCATAAATGCTTTTGACTCTATGAACTAAGAAACTGAAACATCTGTGAAATAAGCTGCTTTAAGTTGCCTTCACTCTTCAAAATTCATTATTCATTCGCTTGGACAGGCATGATCCTGTTTTTGCGTTAGAAATGTGTGAGCTGTATGGGCTTTGTACAGTTGAGATATTATATGAAAAGTGATCTTCCTAAAAAATTTAAAAACTTAAAAATTTTAAAATTCTCTGGTGAGAATTCTTTGTTAAGTCCCTTTTATAAGCTTAGAAATCAGACATTTTGTGAAGTGACTCCAGGTTCCTTTCTATCCTCAACTCCTATCACTCTCCCATCCTCTATGCTAGCACAGGGTTCTGCAGCCAGTTCTCTGTAAAGGATGAGACAGTCAATATTTTAGGTTCTGTGGACTGTAGTGTCTTTATTACTCAATTCTGACAGGGTGGTGAGATCACAGCTACAGATAATACTAAGGAAATGAGAGTGAATATGTTTCAATAAGACTTTATGAAAGCATGAGGCTGACTAGATTAGGCTGGTGGGTTGCAGGCTGCTGGTCTAGCACCTACTTAGGACATCTAAGTTACTTGTTTTCCTCCTTCTCAGACACAATGATGATGATGTCACCAAAGTGGCAGATCAATGGGATGTTCTATTGGATGCCAAGGTGATCAGTATCTCCGTGGTGGAAGAATTTATATACATAAAATACATTCTGCTCCTTTTGGGTGGAAGTAGATCACTTCTGATAATCCTTCCAAGTTGGTGTGGACTGTTGCTCTCAAAAGGTGGTCCACAGGGCAACAGTACCATCATCCACAGGATCAGTCTATACAGATGATTACTGTGTAACTGTGGGACAGCTTTTAAAGAATGCTGGTGTCCCTCTAACCAGTGTCTTTCCCTGTGTCTCTATGAAAGGAAAGTCCTCTGGTCTCTTGGGAGTGTGTATGTGTGTGTGTTACACATGGTAAATGCACCCTAATATTTGCATTATCTTAAGTTTTGGGGTTTTTTTACAGTATGTGAGGGAAGATTTTTTAATTGTCTTTGCCATAGAAAAGATTATATCACCATATGTGATCAAAATCATTACGATTATTAAATGAGCATTAATGTAATAAAATGCCTAAGGCCTAATGAGAGAATGAAATGTTTTAGAGACTTTTAACCTTTCCATCCCAAATACATTGATCCTATTTTATTAGACTTTTCTTGAGGTCACTAAAATGCCTGCCAAACATCTCGAATATCTGTTCTCTTCCAAGTGATACGTATATATTTATTCTTATATGAAACCAGTATTATATTCTACTGTTTTCACCACCCATTCCTATATTCTATTCCCTTTACTATAATAGAATGCAAATTTACTTTTTAAGACTAGCAAGATAAAAATTTATGGTTGGAGTTTTTTTTTCCTAAGATCAAAGAACAAATCTTTTATTGAAGAATAAAGTCATATATTCTACACTTACTAAAGTATAATATATATTCTAATCCTATATCTTATGTAATGTATTATAGACTTAATTTCATAAATATATAACATATCTATTCTATATACCTAGATTATATATCTTATAATCTATGCCCAGATTACATACCTAGATTCTTGTCAGTTAAGAAAACAACATAGGAAAAGGATTGAGAGGAACTTGTGTAAAATGTAAATAACCTATAATGGCTTGGGATAAACTCATTAAAGTTAGTGGTATGAATGATCGTCATAACCAAAGATGGAAGTGACGTGATGCTTTTCTCAGTGGAGAAATAAAACCATGAAAATATGGGAAGAATTGTTTTCAAAATGTTTAATAACGTGGTACCATATTTCTTAGTCCAGATAGGAGACTGAATACTAAGCAATAAATGCAAGAGAAATCCGCATGTAAGCTTCTCTACGTGCTGAGCTCCTGCACTGGAGAATGAACAGAGCACCGCAACTGAGCCCAAACATTTAAATAGAGGGTCAGGCTACAGAAATTGTCATTTGCCCTGCAAGCATACAATTATGTCATTAAATCACAATCGGGGTGTTAGAAGGAATAATTAGGAATATGTTGTAGGGTTGCACACTCATAAGAAATTTTTTATGGGAGGGAAAAAATCTTAAGCATTCACTGTGGGGAAGTCTCATAAGACTTTTGAAAATCAAGCATTTCAGCCATGAGGCTTTTATTTAGCAAGAACAGCCAAAGAGGTTTTTTTTACCTTCATTTGAAGGTGGTTTGAAGTGTCTTGCCTTTTTCTTCTACGGCCTCACATGTTCATCGGGAAAAGAATGGCAAAGGAGCTCAGGTTCTGGAAGGGTACTTGCTAAGTTTTTCTTTGTATTTTCCTTAAGGAATCAATTCCAAGCTTCAGTTTGAAATCATGCCAGGTGCTTCATTTGGATTATTCCAGATAAATCCGGACACTGGAGAAGTAGTAACCACCACTAGACTTGACAGAGAAGTTCAGGAAGTCTTCACCCTTCTAGGTAAGGAACCCCTTGACTAACATTTTTTAAAAAATCAAACATTGTACAAAAATGGACAATGATGTAAAATATATAGGTATAAATAAAAATTTAAAAATCGCAACAGGAGATTGACTAGTGAAATTTTATGTTTCAATGGTGTGCTTTTAAATCAAATAATACTGACCTAATGGTCAGTTTGGTCTGGTGCAGTCTAATGAGGGCAGTATATTTAAAGTATGAATTAACTGCAATAACCAATGCCCTCTCCCACACCATGGCAGTGCTCGTGCGAGATGGGGGTGTCCCTCCACTGTCCGGCACCACGACGGTTCTCTGTTCTGTGGAGGATGAAAATGACCACACACCAGAGATTGCTTTGCCCAGTCATGACATCGAGGTTCTAGAAAACCAGGAGCCAGGGGTTGTCTACACTGTTTTGGCCTCTGATAAGGACGCTGGCAGTAATGGAGTCGTCGAGTGTCACATCATTGGTAAGTGTTCTCTTTATTGGAATCCCCCAGGGTACCCCTTGAATTTTCACCCACTGTGTGATTGTTCTGTATTGGGAATCAATTGTGGTGTCTGCAAAACACACACCCACCAAGAACTGGTACATAGATAGCCTCTCTGCCTCCTTCCCACAGCTCCCCGCACTGTCTCTGCCTTCCATAGTCTCTGAAAATGTGCCTTCAGTGACTCTTGTGAATCTTTCTATACTGACACTAGTGGATGGACAGATGGAGCAGAAAGCTTGTGTCCTATTTTCGTGTCTCTCAAATGACCACTTAATACTTTGAGTACCAGAGGCTTCATTCCGGCCTTTCTAAAATAGACCCACAGGACATGAGGCGACAAGCACTGGCCAGGTCTGAATACCCAGGTACCCCTTCATCTTACAAACCCTGCCCCACAGATCAGGATCTCTGGGGACTTGAGAATATGACTTGTGCTGTGATGCCCTTTGGATGGGAAACACAAGACTTCTGGCAGGATGTTAGCCTCATGAGTTCAGCCTAAGAGCAGCATCTCACATCCAAAGGTCAGAAAGTGAAAGACAGATGCTGATGGTTTCACTTATCTTTGGAACATAAATAACCAAGAAACAGATAATGCAAAGCACAGCAAAAACAACTCCTAGACTTAGTAGAAAATATGCTGGTTAACAGAGAGATCAGGGGAAGGAAGAAGAGAGGGAAGAAGCAGACCGTTGGGGCACTGGCAGGGGAGGTGGAGTGGAGGGTGAGAGGACCCCGTGCATGTACAGAGGAGCAAAAACGGAACCCCAATTTTCTATAGACATGCAAATGGCTGGGTTTTTTTAAAGATTTTTTTTTATTTATGCATACAAGAACTGGGGTATGGGCCAGAGATGGGGTGGAGGTGAGAGGATTCACCAGAAACAGAGCGGGGAACAGAACAGGCAGACTGACTGAAATACACTGCTGAGGGGAGCAGCGGGCAAGTCAGGAGAGGCCTCTGCACTGTGTGGGTAGCTCCCTGGCTGGGGATCGAACTCTCACTGCAGAGGCTGCAGAAGCTGCAGACAGCTTCATAGTGCTGTGCTTGCGCCACCAGGGAGGCCCACAAATGGCTGTTTGCACCCAGACTTCAGAAAGCCACTTTCTCCAATGCTTCACCTCCCTCCTGGACAAACCCTCCTGCAGTCCCTCTGCTGCTATTGGTCCTCTGCTGGAAGTTCCCTGGTCTTCTGTGTTTATCTTTCTCCTTCGCTCACAGACACACACTTAGTCATTTCTTCCTGTCCCCGACTTCAGCTACCGGTGGGATCCCAGTATTTCCCATTTTTATCCACATTCTAGTCCTAAGTCCCATTAAAGGACTTTTGTTAAAAGTAAAATAATGACATACAAACCTACAAATCCAACTGTAATGCTAGCCACTGCCAAAGATTTTTATTTAACTCATTAACTAATAAGCAAACCAAAAAGATGTTAAAACGGGCACAGGGAGATTTCCTAGAACCACAGGCACACGCCCACAGGAAAAAAGGAATTATGAAATGCAGATGAAGTCTGTCTGCGGAACTGCAGTCAGCCCAGCAGACACGACTCATTTGCATTTCTGTGCACAAGAATCATTGCATTATTATCAGTTTCATCACTTTACAGTGTGGGGAAGCAGATGAAGACAACTCTGATGGCAAAGCCAGACCGGACACCTGCTAATTGTTTTTCAACTCTGTTTTTTCTCTCCATTTCAAATTGTTCTACAGTTTTTTCCTGACAGCCTCAGCACCCCAGCCATGACACCAGCAGCATCTCCTCAGCAGTGTGTCCCAGGGGAACTTAGTGCTGAGCCTTCTCCCTCCCCCACCCACGGCACCGTCTGGTTTCTCCTCCAGCCGCTCCGGGTGATCTTGCTCAGTGTGCCCTTTAATAGTCTTGGAAAACCATGTACCCCAACACGTACCTTTTTAAGTTAGAAATTTCAAATGTTTACAGTAAAGGTAATTTTCCAGCATATCACAACTATTGACACCGTAAGCTATTAATCACTTTTTAAAGTATGAATCAATAGAACAAAAAATATCTTTTCAAAAATCATCCTCGCCGTCCCTTGTCTTCTTGCTGGTGACAAGCCAGGCTCTGCATCTCCGTCTTCTCCCCTCAGCCCCTCTGCCCTGCCTGAGCCTCAGGCACTTGAGGGCCCAGTGCTAGAACCTTCTAGCAGCTGCAAGACCAAGGCAGCTTCCCAGGGGCCATGTGACTATCAATTTCTGATTAATATATAAAAATGGACATTATAACCTGTTTCTTATCCCTGTCTCCTATTGTTTTATCTCAAATAAAATATACAATTTAATCCTCTTAAGAGGAACGTGTGTGACTATAAAAAGCTGTAGATGCTCACACAGAAACATATATGGCTGAGGCTCTCATTATTGATCGAGCTGAGATACATATTGAATTCTGTGCTTTTAATTATCCCTCAATAATAGACGTTTCATCAGGGCAGGGACTTTATCCTGTTCACAGTTACATCCCCAGGACTTACAAATGTGCTGGGATGTAGTGATCAGGAAATAAATATTTGTTGAATGAATGAAGCCATGGACAGATATAATGCAAACAGAGGACATAGATGTTTTCAATTCAAATGAATTTTGAATTTATTTTCTTCCAAAGGGGGCAACACCGCAGAGTTCTTTGCTATCAATGAAACATCGGGAGAGCTCTTGACCACTCGTGCTTTGGACAGGGAGCAGGTCAGCAATTTCACCCTGGCCGTCCTGTGCTCCGACCTGGGGGACCAAGCTCGCAGCTCTACGGCGCATCTGCACGTCCAAGTTTTGGATGACAATGACCACAGCCCTGGCTTCCCCACGCTCCGTTACCAGCCCTCCGTGAGGGAAGATGCTCACGTGGGCACAGTGGTCCTCGTGCTCTCCGCTGTGGACAAGGACGAAGGCCTGAATGGGCAAACTGAGTATTTTCTGATGGACGAGGCTTCTGGTGCTTTCACCATTGACCCTGTGACGGGCACCTTGAGAACTGCCTGTACCCTGGACCGAGAAGCTCACGCCCAATACACCTTCCGGGCTGGGGCCAGAGACTGCAGTGTCCAGGGCCCCAGAAGCACCACGGTCCTTATACATGTCCACGTCACTGATGTCAATGACAATGACCCAGTTTGGGAACAGAACCCCTTTGAAATTTTTCTGTCTCCCCAGTCACCTGTCAACCAGACCGTGGCTATTCTGAGAGCCAGTGACCCCGACCTGGGGCTCAATGGCACCGTCATGTTTCGGTTTGCTGAGCCCCAGTCCATGTTTTCTCTGGATAAATACACAGGAGAAATTCAACTGTGGCAAAACCCATCTTCAGAATATTTTCCCATCTGGCTGCCGTTGGAAGTTATGGACCAGGGGGACCCAGCTAGGACAACTTCTGGTCTCCTGGTCATTCACTGGGAAGGAGAAGGCGTCCAGATTTCCTTTAGCCACCATCTGTACAGAGGCGCTGTGACTGAAAATTGTGAGGAAGGTGAGTGGACCTCTTTTGACAAAATGCTTAAGCCTAAGTACTAGGCAAGAGGGCTCTTATAGATTCGACTAGAAAATTTCAAAACCAGTCAATGCCTGTTATGTTGAATTTCATCCAAAATATATTATTTCGGAATATACTTAAATTCAGCAAAACACACACACTATTAAATACAACAAAAAGTAATAAAGCCACTAAAAGATCAGTTCTTAGAGCCTTTGAAGTGTCAGTTCCTTCCAAGTTTACAATCTCAAAATAAGCCCTTTTGTCTACATGTAGATGGATCGTTACCAAGCATGCATTTCTTCAGGGACTTTCTAAGAAGTGCAATGGAAGAGGAAGCATCTCGTGGTTTAGAACTTGGGTTCTCCTGGGTTTAAATTCCGACAGCCACCGTTTCCTTGGGCAGCTGAATCTCACTGAGCCTGATTCCTCCTCTGCAAGTCAGGAATGTGCCTCCCTCATTATTCTGAGGGCTGAGCAAGTTAGTCCTCTGAAGCACAGTAAGCACATGCTAACACGTATTAAGCGTGTAGTAATAGGAACTGCTATAATACTAGTAGTAATTATTATTACTATTGTCATTGCTTTTTCTTCATAATGCTATTTTTTTTAGTTATTTCTCTACCCAAATTTATGCCATAATGGGAAACATAAAAACATTTGTAGTTAGTTGTGAATTGAAAGAAATTAAGTCCAGGTAGTTATATCTAAATAGAGTAGAGAAATGAACCACCGGGTTCTTTCAGCCAGCCAGAGGCAAAGCAAATGGACTGAAGGGTCAGGGAGAGGGGTTCTGGCTGCCTGTACCCCATGGTCTGGTGTGTGCTGTGTCCTTGCTGTGTCCTTGCTGTGTCCTTGCTATATGTTTGTTTTTGATTTGTCCTTTTATCATGATTCAGCCTCGATACTTAAAAAGCAACCTGAATTTTTATGAAATCGATGTCTCCATTTCATAGTGAAATTATTTTTGTTATCCATTATATACTGCCTGCTCTATGAAAAAAAATATTCAATTGAATATTGAATGTTAAATTAGGGTTTTTCTCAGCCACAGATTATTAATCTGACCTTGACCCTCTTATGAATCATAGCTTACTTTGAATTATGATTATGCCATAGGTTACTTTCTTGGTTCTAAACATTATTGACAGTAAATTGCAGTTCTCTTTATTAAATGAAATAATAATGACTTCCAAAAATGCTATTCCTATGTGTAATGAGACGTCCACATAAGCATTAGATGTTAAAAAACATGAGCTACTCCTTAAAGCTATATTTCTACTTCTCTTAAGAAGCATGCACCCAACTCCAGAGCAAGGCAGATGGAAAGTAGTCAATGTTTTCTAAATAATATAGCACAAAATGCAATATGTTAATAAATTTTGAAATTGATCTGATGAACTCATAGAATCATTGACCAGCCTTCATCTGTAGTTGCAAATCTATACATTTCTCCCTAAACATCCCTGGCACCTGATGATCTGAATATTTTGGCGTTTGAAGGTGTGGGGCAGTCATCCTTGTCCTTGAACCTGGGTGTGAAGTGACCTAGGACTTTGTACTTCGTTAGGCTTGAGGCCTGGGAACTGTTGTTTTTACAAGCAGCTTAACAAGTAAACTTGTTGTTTAACAAGCTCTGCAGGTGATTCTTTTGGCAATCACCAAGGAACCACAGGTGGTTCCTTCACTTGGAACGTCATTTATGTGTTGAACCCAGGTCCCCCCCTCCTTTTAGGTCTGTCCATAAATTCTAGTCTGCCCTCCAGGACTCTTCCCCAGCCTACTCTGTTAATCTGCAGATATTTTATTCACTCCTTCAACACACTTTTTATTAAGTATTTCTTGCCAGGTACTTTTCAAATGGGATAAATATTAGTGACCTAGAGGCAAGATGCTTGTCCTTGTGAGGAAGAGACAACAGTGAATAGAATAACTAGAGAACGGTGGAGGGCAGATGGTGATGCAAGCTGCTGAATAAAGAAAAAGAAGAGCAGGGTAAAGGAATTAGTGGGAGGGACACAGTGCAATTTCATTTATTTTATTCATTATTTTCTTTTGGGGGGGTAAAAATTGGTTTACAACACTATCTATGATTTAGAAGTGCAGGATCATACCTTGTGTTACCAAAAAAAAAAGGGCAGGAATCATTGAACAAGTGACTCAAAGACTTAAAAAGAAGAGGTTGCCATTGGTGTGTTAAGAGCAGAGCATTTTCAAAAAGAAAAAAATTGGAAAAGCAAGCGAGAGTCTGCCTGGTTTGTTCAGAGAACTGCAAAGAACTGTGTAGGCAAAAGAGAGAGAATCCTTGGAAATGAGGTCCCAGGGAACACGTGACGTGGGACATTGGAGACTGTCAGGAGGATGTAGGCTTTTACTCAAGATACTTTTCCCATCTCTAGTTCACTCTTTTTACCCTTCACAGAATAGGGTTCCCAGCCACTGCTCATGAACATTCACTTCCAATATAAACTCTTCAGAGTAATAGACATTAAGTATATTAGTCCATGAAAGTCAACATTGTCATCACAATTTTTCACATTACTAAATGAAATTTCAAAAGATTAAGTGGTCGAGACATTTCCTACTTGTTAGGATATCCTTTCTCACTGGATCCAGAATCAATTTGTTGGCAGAATTAAACGTAAGTAAAAGTGACTACTGAGGGGCCCCAAAGAAAACATGTCAATCTGAAATCAAGTTATGGATTAGTAGGTATAATAATATTTGTGGTTAAATTCAGACATGATTTAGTAATAACACTGATAAAGCTGCCACGGGGAAGGGAAGGTCAGCACCTGCTTTCATTTTTGCTCTGTGTCATTGGCTTGCACGTAATGGGCTCACTGTTAATAAAGGGCAGTCATCGTGGGGGGTGGGGAAGCGGTGTCTCTTGAGTCAGCCTATCTCCTATGCCACCAAGGCAGTGTTTCATCATATCTGTCCACCTTCCATCTACTTCCAGCCATCTCGTTGGGATTAATCGATAGTGTTAAGAATAACCTGGTCTGAGATGGAAAGTTAGGGCAGGAGATAGTGAAGTCCAATGGACTCCCTTGCCTCTGGAGATGGCCCCTGTTTAAGATCCAGATAGAAAAGCAAACAGATGAATGGAGGAGACGCCTTTGTCACACTCTCGTGTTTCTTTGTGTTTTCTTTGACGGACCATCAAGGTTGTCCTTCTTAGACTTAATTAAATTTGACTGTTACCTTTTTAATAGAACTTAACACCCCCAAAATCATTTTTTTAAATCTATGGAAGCCTGGACGTACTTCTGGCAGTAACACAAGCATATGGTGTTCAGAAGTATCCAGGTAAGTGCATTTCAAGTGTCTGAAGCAATGGGCCGGGGTCTTGTCCCGGAGAGTAACTCTGGCATATGTGAAGGGCATAAAGTCTAAGTTGAGAGGTAAAGAAAAAGCTGCAGTGTATTACAGGGAGAGAGAGAAGAAAGGATGGCATTTAAGGAGACAATTGAATTTTGTTAGATGAAACAGACTTATACCAGGGTCAGCAGGCTGTCCGAGGCCCCTTGTGAAAAACAGTGACAAGAAGGGTAAAATACTGACTGACATTTCAAGCTGGCCAAGGCTTTGCCTGGAGCATAAACTCAGCACAGCCTTCCAGGTCATATCATAGACTCCAAAAAGCAAATTATTTTTAGATTTTATTTTTATTTTTAATGAAGTACCATTGTTTTACACCCTTGTTAGTATTTTGGCAGTATAAGCCTTCCCCCCTGTAGCCACCTTAGCTCTCCCACTATAATCCTCCACCACAGACCCTTATTCTCTCCCCCATCCCCAGGCACCCTGAAAGGTTGGTGCTGGAGACATAGGAAGGTGGCACAGCCAAGAAGCAGGGTGTGGTCAGCCAAGGCTAATTCCCAGCAGAGGTTAGCTCAGAAACATACTGAAAAGTGACTGACAACTAGCTTCATCAGGGGTGTCCACAGGGAAGAGTTGGGGGCAGCAAGCCACTCAGAGTAGGGTGACAGCCTTCTGCACTCCTCAGTGGAACAGGGAAGAGTGACCTCACATGGTCTGAGGCAGCCATGTTGGTATCAGGAGATGATAACATGGTAGAGAGGAAGGTGTGTCTGAAAAGCAACTTCACACATCAGATATAAAGGGTAAGACATGCTCAGCATAAGGGCTGGGAGAGGCCGGAGAGGAAGTTCTGAGGAGTGTGAGTTTGCTCCCTTGAAAGTGGTCAGGATATGGAGAGACCAGAGCTGAGATCACCTAACAGGAACTAACAAGTCAGCGACAGGACTTGTGTGTAGCCTCCCAGACTTCTGCAACCTGTGGAAGGATGGAGACTGTGGAGAAAATCAGTCACTGAAACTTTATTTTACAAACTGGTGTCTAGTGAAATGCAGAGTGAATAACGAGATGAGAATTCAGCCTGATACTCATGAAGCGTCCATGAGGGGAGAGAGAGGAATATGGCAACAGCTTGAAGAGCCTTGACGTTCAGAGGATATTTTGTTTTGTTTTTGGACACTGGAATAGGTTTGGACATTGTGATTTACATAGTTTAAAGTTGACAAAGAATTTTCGTTTATATTTATGTCACAGTGGAGTAAAACAGCAAGTGGATTGCCTTTCTTCACTTTGTGCTTTTAACATCTTTGTGGATGTTGAACCCAAGCTTCAGATTATTTCCAGTTTCTTTGGAAAGCGTCTGTGACCCCCAAACGGAATTACTGGAGTGGTAGATGATGGTCCTCAGTATGTGGCACCTGGAAACAAAAGCCATTTCTTTTAACCTAAGTGAAATGTTTTTGTTAAGATGATTTTTAGAAATTTGCTTTGTTTCTTGAAATAATGTGTATCTCATAATGAAAATTGAGTATCACTCATTTAGAAAAATTGGGCAACCTTCCTTTCTGGGCACATTCTGGCTGGCTCTGGGGTTCCAGAAAGGAGAGTAAGTACAGGACTTGAGGATGCAGGAATCTGAGGTTTGGTCATCAGCCTGGGGATGGGCTCAGACCAGCAAGGGCTGGGCTAGGCAGGGAGAGGAGATCAGCAGCTCAGCAGCGTGAGGTCTCCCAGGCAAGCTCTGTAATCTGATCCAGCACTGAAGCGACCCTGGACATTCTCAGCCCCGAGTTTTAAATGTAGCCCTTTGCAAATCACAAAATTACAGAGGCAGTAGGAACATCCAGGAATTTTTGAGCACCTGCCTTTCTTCTAAGTTGTCATGAGTATATTTTTAAATGACTAAGTGTAGCCATTTATGGATAATCACTCCTTTTTAAGAAAAATTGCCCTCTAAAATCTGTAATCCCATTAAAAATATAGTTCAGACTTAATTTTGTTTGCTTCTCATTGTATGTACTAATTCTATATTAGTTTTCTTCCCCTTCTCTTTTTCTAAAACTCATAAAAATTCAGTAAGCGCTTTTTATGGTTTCCTCTATTATTTCCTTAGGTGTTCACAAAAGTAAATGTGTTTAAGATTGCAGGCCATTTACATTTGAAAGCATGTTTTCATCTTTTCACACATTCTGGAACATTATTCATTTTTAGCATACATGTTTCATGCTTTATCTCATCCCAGGGGTGAGTTTTTTGGAACGCTCTAGTGACATATGTTTGGTCATTTTTGATGATGGGAAGAGGGAAGGGAAAATTAATTGTTTCTCTTTTATATTGCTGTAAAAAAAACATAAAATGCACCATCTTAGCCATTTTTAAGTATGCAATATCTTTGTGCAGTGAGTTTTTAGAACTTTTTCCTCTTGCAAAACTGAAACTCTAGACTCCTTGAACAACTCTTTCCCTCCCCTGAACTCCTCGCAATCACCATTCTACTTCCTGCTTCTAAAGGTTTGACTACTGTAGATCCTTCTAGAATTGGAGTCATGCATTTGTCTTCTTATGACTGGCTTATTCACATAATGGCCTCAAGGTTCATTCATGTGGTATCATATGACAGCATAGTCTTCATTTTTAAGGGTGAATAATATTCCATTGTGTGTGTGTAATAAATGTCTTATATACTGATGGATGAATGGATAAAGAAATGTAGTATCTATCTAGAAGAACATTTAGACTATTTGTACCTCTTGACCATCACAAATAATGTTGCAGTGAACATTGTTCATCTCTTTGAGATCCTGTTTTCACTTCTTTGAATACATACCTGGAAATGAGATTACTAAATCACATAGTCATTCTAATTTTAAATTTTAGAGGAATATCCATACTGTGTTCCATAGGAGCTACATCATTTAATATTCCCATCAGCTGTTGCCCGTGTTGGTTCCAGTTTCTCCATATCCCCGCCAACACTTGTTATTTGCTGTTATTTGGATAGTAGCCATTCTTACTAGTATAAGGTAATATCATTTTGTGTTTTTATTACATTTCCCTGATGATTAGTGATTTTGATCATATTTTTGTATCCTGTTGGTCATTTGTATATCCTCTTTGGAGAAATGTCTATTCAGGTTCTTTGCTCATGTTTTAATTGTTGGGGTTTTTTTTTTATCAAATTGTAGAAGTACCTTATATACTTTGTAGATGAGTCCCTTATCAGATACATGGTTTGCAAATATCTCATCCATTCCATAGGTTACCTTTTCATTGTGTTGATTTTTTCCTTGAATAGTAAACCATGAGCTAGAAGAATTCGAGGCCCTTAGTTATTTCCTCTTCTTTTCAAGCAGTCTCAACCTTTAAATTTCATCAGAGGAAGAACATATAGAAGTATATGCAGCTCCTTACTGGCTTTAGCATCTGGTCAAATACATGAAGCATTTTCATTGAAAGAAATTCTTTATGCACTACAATTTCATTTGATATGAGCATTTTATTTGTAATAACAATAGGATTACCCATTTTTGAGAAAGACCATTTGATTCTTTTATGCAATTCTGTATTCATCTTTGTTCTTTTATATGTGGGCCATCGTCATGTTTTCTTTTGTAATTGGGCATTTAATAAGCCTCCTAACCCATGAAGAAAAGGCTGTGAGCATGACTATTTGTCTTGCCTGCATAGCTGTTTCTCTTCTTTCTGCCCTTCTCAAGAATCCATGACAAACCAGTTGAAATAAAACTTCCCGTGTTTAAAAAATAAACTGTATCAGGAAGCACAGAACTGTAGTTGCACATTGGAGAGATAAAATAGATTGCCCTACATTTTCATATTCTTGCTGAAAATGTAAGTCATTTTTATATTAAAGTGTCTCCGGTGATGTAGTAAAAGAAGCATCAGGTTACAATGCAATATGAAAGCATTTTCAGTGTGTGTCATAAGTTGATTTCACCATGATTGTTTAAAATCCTTTCCTCCATCATTAAATGACTTCATAACTGACTTGAAAGGAAAAGCTATTTAGAAATCCCAATAAATGATTTTTCAAGTTTGTCACAGTTTACGTTAAGCATAATGTTTGTAAAGAGAGTAATCTGTCCACGTTTAGATTTCCTTTCCCCACAATGAATTCTGGTTTTTATTTTTTTCCACTGAAGTATCAGTTTGGTGGACAGTATCAATACTTGTTTCTTTTACTACTTATAATGATCAGTTCATCTTTCTTGGGGTATTAAGTGTTGAAAAGGGTCCTGGGGAAAGAGTTGTCTGTTCCAGAACCTTTTCTTTCACCTCTTGACTTGGCTTAGGTATTGTCTTCTTCATAACCTCTACAGGAGTCTCAAGCTTGTCACCTGGAGTGCTAACTCAAAAGCAGGCCCGGCAGAAATCTTGATTGGGTGCTGTTTATTTTTTTAAATGCATTTATTACATTGTCCTTTATTTTTGTACAATGTATGATTTCCCTGTGAAAATCCCACCACCAGTTCGCCCGTGCACCATCACCATAGTCCCTTGTTATTTTTAATTACTGCAAACCCTAGTATCAGATGTATTACTATCACATGAAATGATTTTTAAAAATAATTGCTGTTGGTGTAGAAGGTCTTGTAGGCAGAGGAATATTTTTCTAGTCTCTCAGGCTAAAATGCTTCAGTGACCTTCACTTGCTTTGTTCTGTCACCTTCCTTAAAGAAACAAACTATTAATATTGGCTTCATTTAAAAAAAAAAAAAGGTCAGACTAAGGAAGACAGCTGCAGTGTGGTTTGTATGAATATGAAATTTGAAAGGCAAATTTGATGTTGAGTTATAGAAATGTATTGAATGCAAACACATTGCCCCTCAGAGGCACGGCAGTGGTCCCAGACCTTGCAATAGAGTGAACTCACAGTAAAGCAAGGCACATGAAGTTTTTTGTTTCCCAGTGCATATAAAAGCAGAGACTAGAGACAAGAGACACGAGGTATTACAAACAAAGACAACAAGATGCTTTCCAGAGACCCAAACAGATTCTTGGAAACCCTTCCAGTAAAATCCCAGTTCTAATCACACAAAGTTGTGTTGCCATCACCAGTCCTTGCGAATCTTCTTTCATGCTGGAAATCAGTCTTTTCCCTATAACCTGAAATGACTTCCCATCTTCCTAATTCCTAAGCCTAACACAATTCCTGTGTTTTCCTTAAAGTTATACTTTAACTACTCTTGCCCTATCTTAACAATTTTTAAACGAATTTAATTTAATTTCTCTGTGGGTGCTTTCAACGATACTGGCAACTGGTTGAGGGAAGATTTCTTATGTTTATATTCCTGCCCCCTCTTTGCAGCCACCACCCCCCCATTCTAGATTATTGTCTCTTGCTTGGTTCATGGCAATTTACTTTAATGTAGTTTTTTTTTAATTAATTAATTTATTTATACAAGCACTGGGTACAGTCAGAAGCGCGGGAGGGTGAGAGAATCCACCAGAGCCAGAGTGGAGAGCAGAGCAGGCAGAAGGACCGAAGTACACTGCTGAGGGGAGCAGCGGGCGGCAGGAGAGGTCTGCGCGCCATGTGGGACCCTTCTCCAGTGGCCAGGGAGCAGCCGGGGATCGAACCAGCGCTGCAGAGATTGCGGGCAGCTTTGCAACCCAGCGCTCAACCGCTGCGCCACCGGGGAGCCCCATGGCAATTTACTTTAATTGGTCTCTTTACCCTTTTTGTTATCCACATGGAAGTCAAACTAATATCATTAGAATGTAAATGAGGGATCTCTCCTGGTGGCAAGGCAGTTGAGCACTGGGTTGCGAAGCTGCCCGCAGCCTCTGCAGCGCCGGTTCAATCCCCGGCTGCCAGCGAGGGTCCCGCATGGCGCGCAGACCTCTCCTGTCTCGCCGGCTGCTCCCCTCAGCAGTGTATTTCGTCAGTCTGCCTGTTCTGTTACCCGCTCTGGCTCTGGTGAATCCTCGTGCTTATATGAAGTACCCCGTGCTTATATAAATAAATAAATCTTAAAAAAAAAAAAAAAAGTAAATGAGATCATTTTACTCCATCCTTAAAATGTTTTCATGACTTCCCCATACACTTAGAATAAAATCTGATACCTGCATACATAGATGCCATCTTTACCTTCTACCTCTGCCTCCTGCTCACTCTACTTCACCAAACCCAGCCCTTTCCCAGTCCAGGACCTTTGTGGTTCTTGATTATTCTCCAAGAATCCTTTCTTCTAGCTTTTTTTATGATTTCTGAAACTTCAGTGTTCAACCATGGCGCCTTGCTCTGTGACCCCTCTAAAAGAAAGCTCACCTTCCCCACAAAAGAAATGTTTTCTATCACATAGCCTTATTTCTTCCTTCCCAGGGAACTTAACACATCTGAAATCTACCTTAATTATATATCTATTAATGGTTTATTGTCCATTTCCTGCAATCAGTTAATAATCAGCATGAGACCAGAGATCTTCACTATCTTGTTGGTCACTGTGTCCCGAGCACCTACCGTAGAATCTGGCTTCTCAAAAATAATGTAGTATTAAGAAATCATTGAATGAATGAATAAGCTGGAATCATAGGCAAATAATAAATTACTAGTATTTGCGCTTGTTTTTCCCTGGTTTTTATTTTCCTAACCTAATTTTTAACCTAATTTTTACAGGTACTTCTGTTGTGACTGTAAATGCTTTTGCTCCTGACTCAACCAAAGACAGCATGAAATATTCCATTTTTAGTGGAAATGAAGATGGAGTTTTTTCCCTGTGCTCCAACTCAGGTAATCCTTCTTAATATACAACAGCTTCACTTCCTGTTCCGTTCAATGTAAGAAATACTTCTGCAGAAGAAACTCAAAATTTGAAAGATATAGATTGTTAGAGGTAAATAATTTGAAAGGTAGACAAGAATTTTTTTTTTATGGCAGCCGATGAGAAATTGTGGGAAATCAAGAACTGTTTGCTCAAATGTACTTGCTAAGAATTCTGTCCTTCGTATTTCCAGATTAGACAGTACTCACCTGATCCTTCACATTTTTAAAAATAAATTGATTCCTACTTATAATTTATCCAACTGTTTGAGAGAATTGGAGGTAGAGTAGGGACATCACAGATCACTGATACTGAGTTTGAATTATAAATAAACACACATGTCTAGCCTTGGGGAATTTTCATCAGAGATTCTCCTAATTCGCCACTGAATGTCAACAATGCAACAAAAAAGGACAGCTGGAAAGGTTTCTATGTGGTGGTAAAGAAATTAGTTCCAAATACAGCATGTATTAAATTTAGCCTTAATAAGACCATGATTGTGTTTTAAATGAATACCAATTGATTATTTAAAACATACTTTTTTGACTAACAACTATGTAGTAGATACATATCTACTGCTTCGTTGTCAAACCTCAAGAAGAATGTTTTTAATAATTTCTATATTACCATACAACTGCCTTATTTAATCTGTACTACAGGCACATGGGAAGAACTGCGAGGGGGCAATTTCTTAAGCAAATATCTTTCCATCTAGAGTAGTGTTAGGACATTTTGGTCCATACATCCTGGGGTCAACAGCCTCTTTGAGGTTGCCTGCTAGAGGTCTCCACGTCTTTACCCCAATATTTGGTCAAAGGGTGGTATAAGAAGCTAATAAATGGCAAGAGGGCCATTTCTGAATAGCATCAGGCCATAAGTTTCTAGCAGTCCAGGTGTCTGAGGAAAAGGGTTCTGGGAAAGAAGCTAAGATTTGAATACTTAGGAGGAGAGTAATATAATTTGCCCTTTTTTCTAGGCTACCCAAATCCTTCTGTGACCTGACTCCTAACTTGGCCCAAGCTTGGCCTTGCTTTCTCCAGAGTCTATCATTAAAATACAGATAAAGTCTGCCTAGGGTTAGTCCAGACTAGTCATTCATAGAAAACTCTATTTCAACTAAGTAATGATATATTTATGTTAACATTTGGTTCAAGATCTTATTGTGAAATAGCTGCAAGGTGATCTATTGAGACCTGTAAAACTGTAATGCACAAGAACCCAAGTCCTTGCCACCTACCTCCAGAGATGAGGTGAGACATGACTAGAACCTCTGGAGTTCCCTCTTATACCTCCCTTCTTCCACCCACAAGTGATCAGTAACCTGCATTGGCATTGAACCTACAGCTCTTTTCATTATATTTTTCCTACCATGTTTGAATCACCACAATGTTATTTAATTTTACCTTCATTTAAACATCATAAAAGAACCATGATGTCCTCTTCATTGACTTGATTCTTTTGCTCAACATTTTTGCTGTGATTAATTGCATGAATCACATATGTGCACAGAACAGAACAGCAGTTCCTGCCTCCCAGATCATGGAACACAACACAGCCACCATATATATGCCTCTCGGTACCCTTCTTGGGTGTGCCCCTTCTCTCTGCTGCTCACTCTGACCTGTGTCCCCACGGCTGGCAACGTGTAGTAAATCCTTTGCAACATATAGTAAATCCATTCCTATACCATGAAACTTGAAATTCTGCTATTTTTGAATTTTATTTAAGTGGATTCACACTCCATGTAATCTGTTCACATTAGATTCATTTTATTCAAAGTTAGACTTATTCGTCTCAATGTGTGCAGCTGCGGTTCTTCCATTTCATTCCTTTATTGTCGTGAGTCTTTATCACCACTGTTTTCCCATTCTACACTGCTGATGGACAATGAGGTTTTTCTGGCTGGAAATACAGGGACAAGTGCTCTCAAGATCAATCTCATGCCTGTCTCCTGATGGACCTGTAGGGAGTGTCTCCGGGCTCTCGAGACTCAGCAGAGACATCAGAGGATGCATTCGTTCAACTTCACAAATAGGTTCCCACTGGCTTGTGGAGAGGTTTGTCCCATTTCACATTCCACCAGCACTGAGAGGGAGTTATTACCATAGCTCATATCCTTCTTTTATTGCCAGTCTGGTGGGTGTGAAATGGTATCTCACAGTGGTTGTAATTTAACAATTCCTTTATCACTAATGAATTTAAGCATTTTCCCACAGTGAATTGGCCATTCCTGTCTTCTATGTGAAATGCATATTGGTAACTTTGGCCTGTTTTTCTATGGGACTGTTTGTGTGTTGCTTTCTGAAGTGTAAGCATTTCTAATGCATTTTATCAGAACTTAAACTTCACCTGTTTCTTGTTGCAAATATGTTTCCAGTTTGGACTTGTCTTCAATCCTGCTCAAGGCACATTTTGATAAATCAGTTAGAATTAATCAGTCTTTTACTTTAGAATTTGTCCTTTTTATAAGTTGTTTAAGAAATGCTTCCCTAGTCTGGGATCATATACCTGTTTTTCTTTTGTTTGTTTGTTTGTTTGTTTGTTTTTTGTGGTTAACCTTTGAATTTGCAGCCTTCTTGTGGTTTGTCTATCAGACCCTTCGCTTTTGTGCATCCATGCTCTTCCCCTTCCTTTCCACACTAGGTGCAACCATGAGAGAAGAATCTTAAGGTAGAAGGTTGAGTCTAAGCCTTTGAGACAAAAATGGAGTTGTAGTGCTTGCCTAACTCCCTGGATCTCTGCTTCATTTATTTCATCCTCTGAAGATTCCTTATTACTATAGCAATTCACAATGCACTTCAACACACACAGTTTAATTTATCAAGCATTTTATCAAGTTGTTTTTATCATAAGGATTGTTCCAGTGTATAGTTTACCATACTGCTGTCAAGAAACCTTTTCAAAAATTTGTCTTTCATGCCACATTTGTCACATGCCCATTAAATTTATCTAAAGATACCTAATGTAGGGTCTCTCTGGTGGTGCAAAGGGTTAAGCACAGCACTGTGAAGCTGTCCACAGCCTGGACAGCACATGTTCAATCCCCAGCCTGCCAGGGAGCAATCCACATGGCACAGCAGACCTCTCCTGTCTCTCCCGCTGCTCCGCTCAACAGTGTATTTCAATCAGTCTGCCTGTTCTGCTCCCCACTCTGACTCTGGTGAATCCTCTCACCCCCTGGCACCTCTGGCCTGTACCCCAGTTCTTGTATGCATAAATAAAAAAAATCTTTAAAAGAAATTTAAAAAATTAAGGTACCTAATGTAGGTTTTGTGAATGTTTGTATTTTAAGCCAGGTACCAGTTAATATAGAGAACTAATATATATGATAAACAATACAATTGTTCTTGAAGCTTGTGGCTACTTTTCTTAAGGGTGAAGATGTGCACAAACCATCTTATTAATTACTGACTTAATAAGTTACAATTAGCTACATCTCTGATGAGCACTGTGGTTCCTATCCATTTGTGGCTGAGTTTGCCATCAGATCCACAGTCCCAAATCAAAAGTTTACTTTTGTATCCAAACTCCTTGTCACTTTAGCTTAAAAACATCTACTACTCACTGTCTAAACCAGCAGGAATTTTGGAGTTTGACTAATGTTGTATATGCAAATAACAGATGGAAGTATTCATTCCATTAGTTGGGAGATTGACATAAAACAAAAATGATTAAATTTTCAATGTTTCAAGGATGTAGTTTCAGCAGGAGAGAGTTTAAAAGCTTTTGGATAACATAAATATTTATCACATTCTGCTCTGAGTGTACACGTATGCACGTGCACAGCTTGTAATTGACTAAAGTAACTGACGATGTTATCGAGCACTTAGCATTGGAGGGATTTAATCTCATTTTGACATGTATTTTAGAACTTGGACAAAAGATATATATGGACATATATCAGAAGGAAAATAGTACTGCAGTTTTATTTCAAGTTATTATAAAACTGGCACACTAACATGTAAGAACGAATATGAACCTGTGGCACTCTTAAAGAGAATGTGGATTTCTGCCCATATGATTAGAGAGAGCCCAGTAGTACTTTCCTCTCACCCTGACAGTAAATCCTTGATGTCTCTGAGAAAAATACACAGAATGTGAATGTGGTAGGTGTGCCAGCCTTGAATCATCTCACAGACTGGCCATCCGTCTTGCTCCCTTGCATAATTTTCTTATATAGCATATGCCAGTTATTATGCCAAAAATAAAAACCAAGCAAGGAAAACATTAGAATAACCGATCCATTCCAAGTGCAAAATTCCAATTATCAAAGCCTAACACAAGCCTTTTATTAAAAAATCCACTTTGATCTACACTGTTAATTGGCACAATCTCTACTAAATGACACTAGCAATTAAGTGTTGCATTTCTATTCTGTTTTCCTTTACTAATAGTAACAGAACATGATAGCAAGCTGAGTGCATCATTTGGTGGAGACAAAGGTCCGGGTGAGAGCGTTAGACCCACCTCAGACTGGGGGGTTCCTCTGCCATCTGGGGGTACAGGGCTCAGCCTTTATTTCATAGCGGTTTCTAAAGACGAGCTTCTTGCCTTACGAGCTCATCAGAATGTACTTAAATGATTCTCCAGCTGCCAATAGTTAGATCTACTCTAAATTTTTGTCAGGGTATTGGTTTCCTCAGACTGTGGTTTGTATAAGTAATTTCGTTTTAGTTCTGAATTGGTAACTAAATCTGATGACGGTAAATGAAAGTGAGTTTATGAAATTTTAAACTTGGTAGTACAATAGTTCTTCATATAGAATATAAACATTTTACTTTTCTTAATAACAGAAAAGAGGCTAGAAAATTTCCACGTAACACTCAATACCGAAATAAGCATGTTAAACCAGGTTATGATGTGACAACCTGAAAGTGACTTGGGTGCACTTGGCTCTCTGGGAAACTGGTTCAGAGGGAGCCTAGAAACTGTGACCTCCAAGCTGTATTTCCAGACCCAGTACAGGCCCTTTCACCAAAGGACCAAGCTTTTAACAATCTCTGGCTATTACATTTTCTCTTTCTAAATTCAGCGCTTACAAAATATTAATTCTCCATCTGATGATGGAGAGGAAGAAAGATTCGGGCTGAACACTGCAATCTAAAGTCATCTACTGTGGAGAAATATTCTAGATGTACTCTATGTTACTTCTCACAGCAATGCGTGAAGCCATTTTTGCACAAGAGATGACTTGGATCTATAGAACCCGAATAACTTACTCCAGGTCACACAGTTACAGTTAGTAGTGGCAGAGCCAGGTCACTTACCTAAATAAGTGACCAGGTCTAGGATTTATGCTTGGCTTGGGTTTCTCAAACTCACAATCAGCCCTCCTTCAGCAAATCTCTATTTGATAGAATTTCTGACAGTGAAAACCAGGTAAATGATAAAAATAATAAAATCAAAAAAAACAAAAAATAAAATAATAAAAACAAGAAATTAGCTTGTGAAGGGCAGGAAATATCAATAGAAACCAGAAAAAGGAGTTATATCAGGAAAAGAAATTATACCATAATTTGGGAGAGAAACTTGAGCATGTTATAACCCCAGAGTCGTGTCCATGACCTGGGTATGCTTGTAACATGACCGCATGACAGATACCAGGCGCCTTCTATCCAGACCCACTTGGCACTGGGAACTCGACAGTGTAAGAGAGGCAACCACCTCACCTTGCAGAACTTCCAAACCAAGAGACCTAACTTGACTAAAACAGGTGAACAAAGTTCCTGCAGGCATTTTGTGAAAGTCATGATATGGGGGTGCAGCATCTGGAAGGACCCCCAGGAAGCATAAACATGGTGTCCACCCCAGGCAGATGGAAAATTCTGCCTGACAACCCTGTCATGAATCTATGAGGAGCAGAACACTTATGAGTGTGGTGACCGGAGCAGAGAGGGCAAAATGGGAGGGACTCGTGAGGTGGGATACCCCCGAGTCAGCAGGTCGTGTGGAGAGGAGGAATATGGAGCGTGGTCATGGCAGCGGTAGAGGCCACGCAGGGCGTCGGTGGGACGTAGCTGTGTCATCGTCATATTGCTGAACTTGGAATGAGAACTGGATTGATGGGGAGACTGGTTAAGCAGCGATTGCAGGGGACAAGGTGGGATAGGCTAGTGGCCCAGAGGAGGGAGGTGAAGACGAGAGAGGTGATTCAAGAGATGCTGGAAAGGCACGTTCCAGGCTACGTAGAAAGAAGGGTGATTTAAGAGAGAGTGCTCAGATTTCAGACATGTCGTCGTTTCTTCTCCTCCTATATATGTGAATCCTGCAAATCTCTACATGTTCTCACCTTTCATCATGATGAACCCTGTGAGTTGGGGGGAGGCCAGCCAGTGGGAGGCTCAAGGGTTAGGCGAGGCTTTGAGCGTGAGCCGGAGGTGACTTGGACTTTCAAAATAACTACAGCAGTTTTGTCTCCTTTTCTTTCTGGGCATAAAACAATAGGAAAACTCACTGTAAAAGAACCCAAGCTTCTTGATTTTGAAGTCAGAAATGAAATCCAGCTCATCGTTTTAGCTGAAAGTCGGGGGCGCAGAGCCTACAGCAAAGTGGCAGTCTCCATCCAAGATGTGAACGATAATTTCCCAGGCTTTCAGCAAAGCGTGTATCAGGCATCCGTGCCCGAAGGCCAGCACTACGGTGCTCACGTCATACAGGTAACAGGAACACCATGTGTGTGTGTGTGTGTGTGTGTGTGTGTATGTGTGTGTGTATGAATTATTTATCAGTGTATGTTCAAATAGCTAAAGCCTTTCTCCAGCTCATACATAAAAAATGTTAGATGTTGCCAGGGCCTAAACAATGTTTGATGGGTTGGATGAAACCTCATGTTGAAGGAAGTGTGGAGTTTCTTAGTTTGTTTATTTTTCATTTCCTACTTCTCTAGAACTCTGAACTCTAAGAGGGAACCCATAGGGAGAGAAAAACCCACTCACCTTATAAACAGAGACAATTTAACAAGGAAGCCAAAATGTGAGAATATAATTTAAATGCTTATGGTCTGTGGATGGAACTGTGCCTCTAGTGTCATGAGAGCAAAGGGCAGAAGCAAACTCTATCTGCAAGGAAAAGTCTAAACTTCACAGGGCATTTGCACCAGGTTTTGAAGGGCCGTACGCGCTCACTGGGTGACACTTCAGCCAGGAGCTTGGCCTGAGGCACACACTCATGCAGGGGAAGAGCCGCCTGGGTTGAGATTTGCAGTAGGTTTGCGTGAAAGACATAAGTCTGCTCTTTTCCGGCTTAGCCCACCTCAGGAAAAAATAAAACCCTGAAAGCGAGTCCGTTCACACAGTGGTCTTGTGCAGCTTTGTCCTTCCCCTTCAATGTTAATTGCTGTTCTGTCTTCAAAAAGAACCCAGGCATTAGGAAACCTGCTACCTCTTGGGAATCTGCAAAGGAAGTCAGTACAGAACCTTCCTGAGGAAGTCAGCAACAGGTGGGACCTCCCCTCTGACCCTACCCTCTTCTGTTGGGTTCCGTCTTGCTGGGATTATCTGTCAAGGGGTGGCTGACCCCAGTCCCGCCCTGCCGATGGTGTTGCCCCCTGCCTCAGCCTTGCAGACTTCCTCTCCCTGGATCCAACTCTTGGGGCACCAGGGCAAGGAGGGACAAATCACTGCTGATCTGTCCCGATGGTGCCAACTCAGAGCAGCTCTGCTGCAGTTGTCCTGCTGCTGTGCTTTACCCAGGCACTGCTTCATGACACAGTACTTTCCAGTGGAGTTGGCTGCCGTGGACATGTGTGGCCGCCCTCCTAACCCTGACTAATCTCCTCCCTCCGGGGAGGGCTATACCCTGGGACACTTTGAAGCGCTCAGACCCTGGTTCTGCAGATGTGCATGGGGTTCTCTTCCTGGGGTCCTGAAGGAAACTGCGTCCTTGCTTTTCTGTACCAAACAGCAGGCTTGAGCACCTCCTGCTGAGATCCTGGGGGCCCTGTGGGGTCATGAGGGTGCCCTGAGCACACAGGCAGCCAGGTATGGGGTATGTGAAAGGGCAGGGGAGAAGCACACCCCAGGGAGGTCACAGGGGACGTGAGTTCAGGCCAAGGCTGGGGGACAAACAGGATAAAAATAATCAACTTCATCTGTCACCTTGTTCTTCTGGAAGATCTTGAACACACTGATAGAATGAAATTTGTGATTAACTGTAATGTAGATCAAATAATACACATCCATGGAGAATGATGCAAAACTTGTTTTGTCCTTGACACTCCCTGACAACTCAACCAATTAATGACCGGACTCTAAACTCATTAGCATGAAATCTAGGTTTTGTGTGATTTATTTATAGATCTTTTCGAAATGAGATTTTCGTCTCTTCTAGTCTTAGATTTACTTCTCAATTTTGTGCTGATGAGCATGTTTAGAAGAAATGGAGGGACAATCTGTCAGTACGAACTAGCTGACTTTCCCCACTCCCTCTTTCTGTATTTCCCTCCTGACTTTTACTGCTTCACAAATGAAAGTGATGTTGCGAAGTTACTGTGTCCAAGTTACCACTAAATAGCAAAAATACCACTAAAATGATTATGATTTAGAAGCAGTTTTCTCCTGATGCTCTAATCTGATAAATGGCTACTGTATCACCTTTTCTACATTCAGTTTGGGTGTGTTACTTTGGCACTATTCTTAATTGCTGATCTTTATTTTTTTTTTGTGCCAGTATATTATACCTCAGTCCTGTTTAAAAGAAATCTAATGGAAAGAAAAGTCACAGAAACAATAGTAAAATGTTTTGTCTTATAATTTGTCTTTCATGTCTAGTTTGGTTAGTTTTGTAGTACAGAATAAGCAAAATGTCAAGTTTTTAATCCTTTGTCCTTTTTATCATTAAAATTAACAAACACAAAATAAAATGTGTGTATATTAATATAATTATATTATAATACAATAATATATTTTATATATAATATAAAATTATATTTTAATATAATGTAAAAAAAACAATTTTTGGCCTATTTTACAGCAATTCTTTAAGCAGGGAAAATAAAGCAAATGTATGAAGATTGTATGAAGATTTCATTCTTGCTTTTAGCCTGAATCCACATGCAGTTGACGCTTGAACACTGTGGGGGTTGCAGAAACCCATCCCTGCCCAACTGAAAATTTACTTGAAATGTTTGACTCCCCCAAATTTATCTTGGTATCTGTGGGGAGTTGGTTTCAGGAACAGCCCTCCTCCACCGCCATACAAAAATCATCATTAGAGACCCATGTCCTTATAGTTGGCCCTCCATTCCCAAGGACTCCGCATCTGCAGATTCAACAACCTGCTTCTGAGGTTGATTAAATCAGAGCCCACAGATAGGAAAAATCTACGTGTAAGTGAACCCACAATGTTCAAACCCGTTTTTTCCAAGAGTCAGCTGTCTGCTGCTGGAAGTCTTCTATTTCAGCAAATCAGATTTCTTTTTCAAGTATTTTTTTCTCCTCTTGCCTAAAAGTGTAGCTCAAAACATGTGCTAACCCTACTGCAAGTTCCTTGGGAATGCTTAGCATGAGTGTGCAGAATAGTTTCTCTCCCCATTAACCACTTTATTATATAAATAAGTAAGCTTCAGCTGTTAGTTGGTGTTCCTTTGATCGTTGTTTATGAAATGGGTTTACCAATCTGTGATTCTTTCATAATGCATTTCTCTGAAAAGAAAAGGCTTACCCCACCGCAGATTAAATCCTTGTCTAACGGAAGCATCGGTTCCTCGCAGATTTTGGCCACAGATCTGGACAGTGGGTTGAATGGTCTCATCGAGTATTCTGTTCTCTCTGGCAACCACGGAGAAGCCTTCCAGATGGACATGCTGAGCGGTGCCATAACCACAAGCAGTGCGCTGGATCGCGAGCTCACTGCCTCCTACAGGTGTGTGGGAGACGTGCTTCCATGCGGGACTGTCCTGCTTTCTGCCTGACCCCATGGAAGCTTTGGGCATAGCTTCCTATTATGCAAGCTTAGCCATGGAATGTGTTCTCACCTTGACCCAATGTATGATCGCTCTTTTGATACATTGAGTCTTAGAAAGTATTTACTATTTGGAAAAGGCAATTCGACTGGAAGAACTGTAAGGTGCCTTCTAGTTCTAAGATATTATGAATTTGTGATACTTTCAAATATTAAATGAGGGGCCTCCCTGGTGGTGCAAGGGGTTAAGTTGCAGCACTATGAAGCTCTCAGCAGCCACTGCGGCAAGAGTTCCATCCCTGGCCAGGGAGCTGGCCCACATGGCACAGCAGACCTCTCCTGTCTCACCTGCTGTTCCCCACTGCAGTGTATTTCAGTCACTCCACCTATTCTGTTCCCACTCTGTCTCTGGTGAATCCTCTCACTCACTGCACCTCTGGCCTGTACCCCAGATCATTCTAGAAATGATCAAACTAAAAGCACACACTCAACATTAAATATATTTTTGTCTAGAGTCTAAGATACACCACCCTTATAAAGAACTCTACAAAAGAGAGAACAGTGTTGCAGACCTCCTGGGTATTTAAAAAATCCAGTGCTACAAGCATAGACTTACCCACAGAGATATTTATGGCATCACAGTCTGTAAAAGAAAAAGACATGGAGGAACCCAGAATATCCATGTTTGGAGCTGCCTTAAGAATGACACCCTAGCCCTCCTGTGAAATACAGGAATTTTAAAAGAGCAGGAATTCTGTCTGTGTGTGCCCTGGAGGACAGAGCTCCAGGACACGTGACTGAGTGGAGGAAGTAACAGGTGCCACTGCTGTGTGTTCACTGCTGGCCCATGTGAGTAAAAACTAGCCCTTGTGCTTGACTAGTTCAGGAAGAAAACCTGAGAAAATGTAAAGCTGGCTTATTTCACTGAGCATGATCCCTTCCAACTCCATCCATGTTGCTGCAAATTGCATTAATTTATCTTTATTGATTGCCGAGTAATATTCCATGGTGTATATGGACCACATCTTCTTGATCCAGTCATCTGTTTTTAGGCATTTGGGTTGTTTCCAAAGCTTAGCTGTTGTAAATAGTGCTGCTATAAACATAGGGGTGCAGGTGCCCTTTTGAATTAATATTTCTGTGTCCTTTGGGTAAATACCTAGGAGTGGAAAAATACTGGATGGTCTCATTCATAACAGGAATTTAGAAAATCTAAATAAGGGACCAGGAAAAAGACTAATTATAATAAAGTAAAAATCAAAATCAACAAGCAACTATTAAACTAGAGATACCCTATGGGGCAGGGGCGGGGGGCGGGGGTGGGGGGTGGGGTGGGCTGGGGAGAAGGGAGTAGGACCAAAACAAGGGGGGTAGGGATTGTATGGGGACTATAACCAAGATGAAAATGCATACATTGTGCAAAAATGAAAAATGATGTAAAAATATATAAAATATTTTTTAAAAAATTAGAAAAATTATTGAGAAAAAAATAAAATCTAAGCAAGAAGGAAAAAAAAAAAGAAAACATAAAGCTGATGTGTCCCTGAAGAGGTGGTCAGGAAATCTACAGGCAACAAGAAGCTTGCCTGTCTTGTATCTGTTAGTGACCTTATGCCTCTCTTTTTTTGGTATGTTCTCATGAAAGGTCTTGCAACTATAGTGTTTCATTTAATCCTCAAGTTCACCTCCTCAGAAGTTCAGCTAGGCATTTTCTTTTATTTACTGTTTTTTAATTGTGTTAGTTTTTACTAAGACAATGCTATTTTAGACCACGGTATATGATTTAAGGGAAAAGATTCACACCTCTTTGGATGTATGTAAGTACACCTTACCTACCATCAAGGCACCCATAAATCTTCCTCATTGCCCCCCTTTTTCTCCCCATCCCCCAGTCTCTCTTGTGATAACCTCAGTTCTGCAGATTTCTGTGATTTGTTTTTTTTTTTTAAAAGATTTATTTATTTATTTATACAAGCACTGGGTACAGTCAGAAGCGCGGGAGGGTGAGAGAATTCACCAGAGCCAGAGCAGGGAGCAGAGCAGGCAGAAGGACCGAAGTACACTGCTGAGGGGAGCAGCGGGCGGCAGGAGAGGTCTGCGCGCCATGTGGGACTCTCCTCCGGTGGCCGGGGAGCAGCCGGGGATAGAACCAGCGCTGCAGAGGCTATGGGCAGCTTCGCAACCCAGCGCTCAACCGCTGCGCCACCGGGGAGGCCCTCTGTGATTTGTTTTGGCTTAGTTTTTTTTTTTCTGTTTCACTGTTCATATATGAGTGAAATCATTCAGTATTTGTCTTTTTCTTTCACACTTATTTTGCTTAGCATTATTCCCTCCAGTTTCATCCATGTAGCAAATGGCAAAAGTTCACCTTTTTAACAGCTGAGTAATATTCCATTTCATTCATCCACATATCTGTCCTAGGGCAATTAGGCTGCTTCCATGGTGTGGCTGTTGTGAATAGTGCTGCAGTGAACATAGGAGTGCATATGTCCCTTTGAATGTCCCTGTACTTTCTTATTGACTGATAAGAGCACACATGATGGTTGCTCAGGGTCACTGAGCTGTGTGATAGTCACTTGGGACCACCCTCAGGCTCTGACTGAGCGTCACACTACCTGTGATGTATAAACTTCAAGGCAAACCTTCTGTTTAGGGGGAAAGCAGGTATACAGAAGACCTGTGTGTCAATACTCTCCTAGGCCAGTCTACTTTCATGTTTTATGAGGAAAGAACAGTATATTCATGTGGTTAAGCAGCGAGAATTGATTAAAATGGAGTCTCTGCCTGGGCAGACTGGATTAATTAGCTTTGGAAAAACTCTCCAACTGTAAATGTTTGATTAAGTGTTTAAGTCTTTTTTAAAAATATATTTCAAAATAATGCTTCAAAAATATTTTGAAAGCTTATTTTATTATCTTCCTCTGTATTAACTAGTAGGATTCCACCCCCCCCAGTAGTATCTCAGTGGAATCAGTTGTTGTGATACTTACTGTATAAATATATTAAAACCAACCCTATACATATGTTAAAACCTATTACTGCTACATCATTCCTATAGTACTTTAAAACATAAGTTCGTTTTTATTTTTCTTCATAGATGACTGCAGAGAAATCTTAGGCTAGTGTTACCTGAGTGATTTTGAAATCAGACTATTGATGTTCTACTGCATTCTAGGAACTAAGTATTTCCTGATTGTAATTACTTTCTGTTACAATTTTCTTCTTACTCATTGGAACCTAATTAGCAATTAAGTCTAACTGCTCTCAGCTTTTTCCTATTTGCGTCATAGTTTCTATGTTCCCAACATTTAAATTGGCTCTAAGATTTAGAAGTGTCCCTCTCCAGTTCCCCTTGAGGAATTTAAGACTGGGAGAAACAGCAATGGAGAAATGTTAAATCTACACACAGTGCCACGGAGAGATACAGCAACAGCCACACACACACACACACACACGTGCACGCGTGCGCATATACACACGCATACACACACTCATACACACACAGTCTCCAGTATCACCAGGGCAAGAAAATACTTTAACCTCATGTGATTTCTCTTCCTCCTTCAGATAGGCTGCTATGACTTTAGTGATTTAGAACTGGTGTCATTTAGGTTTTTCTATGTTTTTTTTTTTTAGTTTATTTTTAAATGAAGTACCTTTTTCTTACACCATTGTTGTTTTGGACACTATTTTATTTCTTCCCTTGGGTATGGTCACCGTAGTTCTTCCACTACCAAAGCACCGTGTAAGGGCAGGATAAGACACGGTGCAGGTTTTCTAGGATCCCATGCAGACCGGGTAAAGGAGGAGTCAGAGTCCTCAATAGCTTTTTGCAGGCTTTTATTGGGATTTACCCGGTATACAGCAGGCAGGGGTGCTTTTATTGGGATTTTCCCGGTATACAGCAGGCCTCCCAGCCCCCAGCAAATCCTCACTCTATCTGGGCTCTCCAGTGATTTCTGCTTCTTCGCTTCTCTCTCGGCTTCTCTTTCAGCTTCTCCTCGGCTTCCACTGGCGTCCCCGTGATGCCTCCCTTAAAAGCCCAGTCTTAGCCCAGGTGAAGCCCATCTACCTCTGCCCACACGCTACTCCAGGTGCCCGCCATCAGGCATGCATTCAGGACCGCAAGGATCCATCATCTTTCCTGATAGTGGGAGGGCAGAAAAGCCTGACATTTTTCCTTACCCTACACACCGTAACCTCACACCACAGTCCCTGTGCTCTGCCTCCTCCCCCATTTTCATCCATACCCATCCCGTCCTGGATGCTTCAGATCTATGGTCACCTTTCAAGGTTTGTCTTTGTCTGGCCCTTTGTTTGGTTTGTCTAGATTCCACATATAAGTGAAGCCATCCAATATTTCTTTCGTCTTCTGACTTATTTCACTTAGCATAATCCCTTCCAGCTCCATTCATGTTGCTGCAAATGGCATGAGTTTATCTTTTACACTGCTGAATAGTAGTCCATTATGTATATACACACATCTTCTTGATCCATTCATCTGTTTGAGGGTATTTAGGTTGTTTCCATTTCTTGGCTATTGTAAATAGCACTTCAGTAAACACAGGAGTACACATTTCATTTCAAATTAGAGTCATTTAGCTTTCAATTTTACTTGTGAACTATTGCTGTTTTCCTGATTGAGGGAAATAACCCAAATCCTAGCCCTTTGTTTTAAAATATAAATGAGGAAAAAAGATATGGTCAATTATGATTCTACTCATTTTAAATGAGTTTACTAATAATCACAAGCATGGCCATTGATGGAGCACCTGTTTCTCCTGTATCTGGTAGTATAAGAGACTCATGATTGACAGATGAAAAAACAGGAGTGCAGAGAGTTTGTGCTGTTTCCCAAGAAAGTACAGCTATTAAATGTCTCCCAGAAATGGTACATTGTTTTGACATAAACACCTCATATACTATGGTGACTTGCTGGATTTGGTTTTCTAAATGTATCGAAAATAAATCAAGCGACATTCCTATAAAATAAATTTAAATGTCTTTTTAGAAAAAGCCAGGGGAAAAAAATAAAAGTAATCAGAAAATTTTTAAATTTTCAACCAGGTGTTTGATATTAAGCTATTTTTCCTCATTCCTGGATGGTGCATAACATTTTCTGATTCCTTTCCTAACCAGCCTGATTGTGCAAGCAATGGATAAAGGGATGCCCAGGTTATCAGGCACAGCTGTGGTCAAGATACAGGTGACTGATATAAATGACAGTGCTCCAGTTTTTCTCCCTTCTGAAGCAGTGGAAATTGCTGAAAGTAAGTGTGCTGACTTGGAATAATGGTTTGGTTAACTTGTATATTATCATTTATCTTTTTTTTCAGCCAGCAATTATATTAAATATGACTACTTAATGTCAACAATCAGATAGCAAATGGATGGCCAAAAGTTAAATACCATCCCAGAGAAGTTAAGTATTCAAACTGGGACTTGCTTTCAGACCTGCAGAAGGCCAATCCTAGGCTTGAATGCCATGCACATGGCGTCTCTGTGGACAGACGTTTCTTAGATGCGAAATCTATTCTGTGAAGAAGCATCTTGTTTACTGGGAGGTTCATTCTGAACCTCATCTGAGAAACCCTTTGTCTGTCTTTATGTTGCACGAATGACAAGAAATAAGTGAAAGGATTGGATGTTTGTCACACAAAGCTGCCATTTTCCTCTGCTATAAACTTAACTATAACACTTACAGAAAGTTTTATCACATTGATGGCAGAGTTTGAAAATACAGAAGTGTATGTGATGTCCTGATTAATCTTAGTGATTTGGGCCTCTGGATAATGCAGTGACTCTAGAGACTCTAGAGACTAATCCCAAAGCTGTCAATAATTCCCAGAAATAAGATGTTAATAAGGTTTCCAGATGGGTTGCTGGGGAAGGTATTTATACCAGCATCCAGGAGACTAACTCACATCATGTAAATACTTTCAGATTAGAGACTTTTATCTTTACCTTACAGCCTAGCCTGCCATGTGTCTTTTCTAGCTGTATCCAGCATGTCAGTAAGGTAGAGGTAAAACCCAACCCAAGTCTTCTGGCTGAATCTTCAAGTAGTGGTGGTTCCTCCCTGGTCTGTCTCCTTTCACACTTAATACCAATTTCATTTCTAAAGTATCCCTAACATTTCACTTTTCAAACAAATTACATCACTGTTCAAAGAGGGACATAATCAGAAACTAATATAGGGATAAAAATACTTACAACTATTCTAAAACATTCTACCTATAAAAAATTCTCCAGTTTTGCTTCTCCCCTATTTGACATATTTTCATTTGCTTTTACTGAAGGTAGTATTGTAAAGCACATGCATTAGCATCCAAAGGCAGTAAAATGTCACATATAAATATAGCACCAGAACAAACAGTATAAATAAAAACACGCTGAATGGGACAAGTCATGATTGGTGCATATCAAGAATGTTCAAACATGGAGTGGGAAAACTTGATTTTCATTTTTAGTGAAATTATCCTGAATATGTCGGCTTCTTTCTTCTACCTGCACCTACCTGTGAGCCTAAAAGCAAAGTCCCTTCCATGGTGGTTTAGGTGAGGAAACACATGTAGTGTGGGGGGCATTAGCGTGTTGTGTATTTTGTGATTTTATGTGTGTATAATATTAGAGATCTGATTTTATCACTTGTGTAGTATGTCTTTCATAATCTTGATCATTTTGAGTTATATTTTTAAGGAAACAGTATACCACACCAAAAGAAATACTTTTACAAAAATAAGTATGAGGAGCTAAGTCTGTTTCTAACCTCAATACCAAATGTTTTCATTTAAGTATCACATACTTTTTAAAGTTTTATGTTTTGTCTTAATGTTTTTAGTAATGACCTTCTGCCCACCTCTATCCCCCATGAATATATGATTTTTTATATAAACTTTATAATGAAAAGTAGTTTAGAATATTTCTTGGTCCTGGAATGGTGTTGTAGGCATATAGTGAATAATGTAACATAAAAATTGAGTATACTCTACCTCTTCAATTCCGAACTCAGTGGTACATTTTCATTTTTATTGGGCTCATAAATTCTTCAGCATTTTTGTTCAGTTCATAACAAACTTTGTACGAGAAAGCATGCCCAGAAACAATATGTTGGACTTAAAAACGCTTGGATTGAACTATTAAAGAAAAGTATTTCCTTGGCTAAATTGTAATGGAGGCTGACATTGGTCATGACTATTTCAGATTCCTTGCCTGGTACTGTTGTGACTCGAATATCAGTTCATGATGTGGATTTGAATCCAACTTTCATCTTCAGTTTTGCCAAAGAGAGTAATCCTGGAAGCCAGTTCGCTATTGATCGGAACACTGGAGTAGTGGTGCTGGCGAAAACGTTGGATTTTGAGGAAGTGACCGAGTATAAGCTGCTCATCAATATTTCTGATTCAGTGTATCTCACAGAAGGAACGCTCATTGTCCGTGTGTTGGATATAAATGACAATCCACCAGTATTTTCTCAAGATTCTTATCAGGTAAAGTCCCTAAATAGATGCTGAAGGCATAGCCCAAATGAAAGAGGATGTAGTCATGTCAAACTACTGTTGTTGACGGGCTAATTTTAGGCAGACATAGTCACTGTCTGCAGTGCCTAAAGTTAATGTTGAGGGTTTGATGTTTAATGTCATGGAGATAGCAGTGTATATGGAACTGAGTATCTTACTCAAGTCAGTTTCTTTGGCATCATATGTCATCATATGAAAGTCTGCCTGCTTTCTAGTTCCTAGGGATTGGAGTCCAGTTGTTCATAACAACTGGAACTTGCCTAATATTTGCAAAGCCACAGACAAGACAGTAGGCAGTTTGGAGTATCAGCATTTAATTTGGGAAAGTGTCTTCTTTCCTAGGCTTACTTTTGGAATTTATTTATTTTTTAAAGATTTATTTATTTATTTATACAAGCACTGGGTACAGTCAGAAGCGCGGGAGGGTGAGAGAATCCACCAGAACCAGAGCCGAGAGCAGAACAGGCAGACTGATGAAGTACACTGCTGAGGGGAGCAGCGGGCGGCAGTAGAGGTCTGCGCACCATGTGGGACTCTCGCCCAATGGCCGGGGATCAAACTGGCGCTGCAGAGGCTGCGGGCAGCTTCGCAACCCAGCGCTCAACCGCTACGCCACCAAGGAGGCCCACTTTTGGAATTTATTAACGTTGTACAGAAACCAATCATGAACATACTGGTGGAAATTTTCATTTTTTGAGCATAGAATGAAGGAGAATGATAGCATCAACTCAGTAGTTGGAATTGAACACTAGCATTCCTGACTATAGAAAATACAAGGTTTGCATGTAAACCCAGGAGTAAACCTAAATAATGGACTTCTGTGAAGGCTTGCTAAGTCATACAATGTACATAATAATCAACATTATACAACACAGTGTAATAATATCTATTCACCCTCCTATAGCACACAAATAACTTAGAAGGGAAAATTTTCATACTAAAAATCAAAATGAATAAGAGTTTTAAAAAATTGTTTTTTTCAATTCTGGTACTAACATATCTTCTTAATATGTCAGCTCTATAAATAGATATGTCAGATAAAATCAGGTTCTCTGTGTAGTTTCCATAAGCAAAATGAATAAAGTGATGCCCTGTTCCAGCCCTGTTTGTGAAAATACCCGTCACCTTTAAGGACATCGCCTATCCAGTTCTTTTTCCCTCAGGTTACTGTTCCCGAGTCGCTGCCTGTGGGGTCCTCGGTGCTGAGTGTTGCAGCCACAGATGTAGAAAGCAGCAAGAACATCTCTTACAGAATCCTCCCCTCTTCTAGGGAGTTTGCAATTGATCCTGTAAATGGTGAGTTATTTACAGGCTTTGGGGTTTATCGGTTTGAGTTCCAGAGTGGAAACCTGCAAGAATCCACTCCAAATGCTCCTAAAAATAGGACCTGGCCCTATTTCTTAGTATTGAAGACCTTCGCATTTCTCTTCGCGGCAAATGGCATGGCAGCAAATTCCAGGGTTGCCTCTCTTCCCCCAATGTATCAACGGCCAGAAAACAAAAGGAATTGATGAAATGCTGGCAAATGATCAGAAATTCAGAGACCCCGAGATCATCAACAACCTTATTCATCAGTCCAAACGAGCGCAGTTTGGGTAATTATCCCAGGTCTCAACAAGATGAAGCTGAAAGCACCAAGATAGTGATGAGGACTTCATGTTCCTGGAACCTGGCGGCTTGTTCTCCAGTCAAGGGCAAAAAGTTCAGAACAGCCTCATGCATTCAGTAAGAACCAAGAAAAAAAATCAAAACATGAAAATCATTCAAGCATCTCTAAGAGAAAACCTCCAGCCATGTCCTGGTCCATTTGAGGCCTTCGAAGCCTCCTGGTAGCTTTATCGGAGAGTAAGACTTTTGTGGTTGTGAAATGCAGTTAGGCAAGTGACTTTCGAGAAGTTAAGCATAGTATAGAGAAATTTTTAAAATGAGTGACCTAAGTTAATTTGATAGAGATGAATAATCAGCAGAATACTGCCCTTAGCAGAACACACTCTAGAAGAGACTGCCTGGGACACATCCCACCATATGCTCCCCACCTGCACCCCCAAATGTCATGTCGCCAGTGAGAGCTGGTGTGAAGGTCAGGAATGGACCACAGTGCAGGTTTCCTATGATCCAGCAGACCGGGTAAAGGAGGAATGAGAGTCCTCAGTGGTTTTTTGCAGGTCTTCTATTGGGATTACCAGGAACACGGCAGGCAGGGGTGCTGGGGGGCCGGGAGGCTGGCAGGCCTCCCAGCCCCCAGCAAATCCTCACTCTATCTGAGCTCTCTGGCCTTCTCTGTGCTCACGGCTTCTCTACTTCTTTCTCTGCTTCTCGGCTTCTACTGGCGATCCGGTGACGCCGCCCTTAAAAGCCCCGTCTCAGCCCAGGTGAATCCCATGCACCTATGCCCACACCTTATTCCAGGTGCCCGCCATCAGGCATGCATTCAGGTCAAGGATCCATCATCTATCCTGATGGTGGGAGGGCAGAAAAGCCTGACATTTTTCCTTACCCTACAGCTGGTTTACAAGTTCACCTCAGGGTGATGGATGTAACCAGAGTAGTGACGATTTCTCAGAATGTGTATTAACTGGATCATTACGTTGTACACCTGAAGCTCATGTCATGTTCTAGAGCAACTACCTCGCAATGAAAGAAAATAAACTCAAAATTTCCTGAAAGGAGAATTTATTTTCGAAATACTAGTCTGAGGCTCATGGAGTGTTGCTACCCAGAGAGGCTGACAATGTTGCCTGTGAGTGGCAGGCCCTGTGCAGGTGTGTGCCTCTGAGGAGTTGACTTTCCTTTTCTTTCCCCTCCCCTCCCCTCTTGCCTTTACTCTATCCATCTCCTCTCTTTTCTTTTGATGTCAGCTGCTGGCCTGACCAGGAACATCATGTTATGGGAGGCAGGAAATGCTCCTTCTGAGCCTTCAATTCTAGCAGCCCCTGAGCTGATGTTTGTTATCAAGCAGCTTTGCAATGAGATACAGATGAGAATATTTGTATATGTGCTGCCGAAGCAAACACTAGATGAGAATATTTGTATACCATTAAATGGCATCAGGCCCATTTAGTTCACGGGAGGACTCTGACTGAGATGTAGCATTTATTTTTTTAATTTTTTAAAATTTTTTTATTTAAATATTTTATTTTATATAATTCATACATCTTTTTTCATCTTTGCACAATGTATCCATTTTCATTTTGGTTATATTCCCTATACAATTGCATGAGGTGTAGCATTTAAATGACTGCATCTGTATTCTATTTTAGTTGCTATACTTACTTAAAACCCATTTATCTTAGAAGAAATGCCATTACACACATATAGAAATTAAGTATTTCTATATCTAAATCAATAAAATGTATTCAATATATTCCATCAGTTAGGGAAAACCCCACTTGTTGAATCAGCCAAGAGCTTTAGAAAAGACATCTTTGTAATTTTGAGCAATAGTTATAACTTTACATTACCATATTACAACTAACATTTGACTAAAGTGGATGTCAGTCAGTATTTCCAGAATAAATATTGTTCTAGGATGTCTTTATATATGTGCATCTATGGCTCATAGATTGGGATATAATTTTTTTAAATAATAATAATTTTCTAAAGAAAATTAGTAATGGGATAACTTACTAATGAAAGTAACAAAACTACAAGAAAGTTATGGCAAAGTCACATTCACGCAGCAGGCATAGATAACGGAGTGAATGCCGTGGGGATTATTTCTGAATCTTAAATGTTACAAAAAGCATAAATGCAATCATCTTCATTCTTCTATTTGGCATTACTGTTGGTGTCAATTAAATAACAAATCTAACAAATAACTAAACAGTAAACCTTCCGTAAATATTTACAGACCGCATGGATCATGAAAATTTAATTTCCCAACATTGAAATTCTGTGTCTTGTTTTTCAGGCACCATATTTTCTATCCTTCCTAAATTACCTCTGGATAAAAAACCAACCATTCGATTTCTTGTCGAAGCCAGCGATGGTGGGGTCCCTGACCTGAGGGCTGTCACCCTAGTGGAGGTAGAAATACAAGACATAAACAGTCACGCCCCTGAGTTCGCAGTTGGATATTACAACCTCAGCTTGAGGGAAGATGCTCCAACTGGGCTCACGCTTGTCACATTTTCCACCACTGATCACGACTGGACCCGTGAAAACACACGTGTTGAATATTCCATCCTCAGTGGTGACTCACAGAACAGTTTCCTCGTGGAAACTCACTTCACTCATTCAGACCATCCCTACAAGCCAGTCGGTTACCTGGTACTGCTCCACCAGCTGGACAGAGAGGCCACGGCCGGCCTCCAGCTGGTCATTGTGGCGTCTGACCAAGGCTGCCCTCCCCTGACCTCCACAGCCACGGTCGCTGTGGAAGTGCTCGATGCCAACGACAGTCCCCCTCGGTTCAGCAGGCTGACGTACCACGCCCACGTCAAGGAAAGCACCCCTCCGGGCAGTCACGTCACTGTGGTCTCAGCCAGCGACCCTGACGAGGGCGCGCACGCCTACATCACCTACCACCTCGTCTCTGGAAACGAAAAGGGGCATTTTCACTTAGAAGAAAAAACCGGAGTTCTTTATCTCCTCAAACCTCTGGACTATGAGGAGACCATACAATTCACTTTAATTGTGCAGGCTTCAGATGAAGAGAGGAAACATTTCTCCTTTGCCATTGTGCTGATCGGAGTCCTGGATGACAACGATCATGCACCTCAGTTTCTCTTCTCAAGACTGAACTGTGTGGTGCCTGAAAACCTGCCCGTTTTTTCCACCATATGCTCCGTGAATGCTCTGGATTTCGACACTGGTCCGTACGGAGAACTGACCTACTCTATTGTCTCCCCCTGTTCTGTGGCTCGTGGGACGCCTCCTCATCCTGTCCCCTTCCTCATCGACCCCATCACAGGGGACATTCATGCTAAGCAAATCCTCGACTACGAGAACAGCAATAGCTACTGCCTGACGGTTCAGGCAAAAGACAAAGGCGACGCAACAGCCTCGTTGGTGGTGTGGGTGGATCTTGAAGGGATCGATGAATTTGAACCCATTTTCACTCAAGAGGAGTATTTTTTCAACCTCCCAGAAAAGAATCACGTGAGGCAGTTGGTGGGCAGAGTCGAAGCCTCGGATGCAGACGCTGGTATTGATGGAGTTGTTCTTTACTCCCTCAGGACTCCATCGCCTTTCTTTTCCGTAAATCAAACCAATGGGAATATTTATTTGACTAGAGCCCTTTCCCTCAGAAACAGTCAAGTCAGCAGAGAAGACACCATCGAAATGAAAATTACCGCTCACAGCCCCAAACCAGGCTCCAAGTTTACCACGTGTACTGTTTTTGTGAACGTGTCTTTATCCCTGGAAGGAAGATACTTGGCCATTTCAGTCAGCAGCTTTTCAGTCAGCCTCACAGTCTCCTTTTTAGTGTTTCTGTTACTAGTCTTCATTTTAACTGTAGTGATTTTAAGGCATAAACAGAAAGACCCAATAAACACTTACGAAGAAAAGAAAACCTCCCCGTCCTGTGTCAGCGGTGAGAGGCCCAGGGGGGAGGCCAGCAGGCTCAAGGCCTTCCAGGAAAGCAGCAGCTGCCTCCCGGAGGCCGTGCCCATGACCTCCATGCCTGAATGGCTGAGTTTATTAAGCATCATGGAGAAGGACCTTGTGAATCTGTACAGGCACTCAAACTCCAGCGGCCACTGCTCCGTGGAAGGAGAAACTGCAGAAGATAAGGAGATCCAGAGAATCAACGAGCACCCTTACCGGAAGGATGCTGGGTCGGCCCTGAGCGATCGGGAGTCCAGGGTGCCAGACTCCGGGATCCCAAGGGACTCGGATCAGCTCTCCTGCTTGTCCGGAGAGACGGATGTGGGGGTGACTGCCGAAACAGCAGAAACCAGCCAGACATTTGAGGAAGGAGGTGGAGGAGAAGGTTGTGGCACACCCACTGTTCAAGATGATATGCCACCCCAGCCACTAAGGAAGAATGAGGTGAACATGGCCATCCAGGCCGACAGCAGAGAAGAGTCTGTTTTTATACCAGGCGAGCAGGAAGCAAGGATCTCCATTCTCTGCACTCAGAAAGCCTCCAATGATGACGTAGGAAGCAGTCACCACTGGGATTATCTCCTCGGTTGGGAACCCAAGTTCCAATCTCTGGCCTCCGTATTTAATGATATTGCAGAACTGAAGGATGAACATTTGCCTGGGCCTGGCCTTCCAAAAGAGAAGAAATCTTTGGGCTTCCCCCCACCTTTGATCACTGCAGTAGCCCAGCCTGGGGTTAAAGCTGTTGCACCCAGGATGTCAGCCATCGCCCCCTTGCAAGGACCAGTGGTTCAGAAATACCCACACTCACCCATTTGCTACCATCTCAGTTCTCTTCCGGAAGCCATGACACCCAGCTTCTCTCCATCTCTCTCCCTCTTGACCATGCGGACCCCCACCATCCCTTCAGAGTTGTCAGGTGGAGGCTTATTGGGTTCCCGGGTCAGTGATGCATACCATGGACTTAACCCCGAAGATGAAGTTCAAATATAAAATTATTGTCAAGCCCCTGCTCAGCATCGGTCGTGAATGATTGAATAAAACCTTCTTATTCTCCTGGAGATCAGGTCATTTTATCCAGGCCTGAATGATGAATTTAGGCACAGGCTTTAGATCTTGCTCATTTTAAGTTTCTCAAATTTCTTCCAGCCTTAATGAGAAGCTACCCCTCTTTGAACCTTCACGTTTTACTCTCAGGATTCACCTTTGTGTATATTAAGTAGTGTACATTCTGTCATAACTGGCTTCCTGTAGGATCAGATTTTCAATGGACACGAACTTGACTGCTGTAATGTGTATGTAGAAGTAAGTTCTGGTGTATTATGGTCACACTAGAGGTGACTACACTGCTACATCCAAAACAAACTAGTAAAGACTGACTAAGAAATGAGGACAGAAAGTAACAGAGAAGGGATATTTGGAGGGATAAATATAAGTTTCTTTAAAATGAAGCAATTTCCTATGGCTGTGCTAATTTAAAGATGGCATTTCTTCACTTTCCCAAATGCCACACTTGCGGACTTTAGCCATAATTTGAATTTTAATGTAGTATCTTTTGAAATCTAATGAGAAATTAAGAGTGAAATTTGTCATAACTCTCTGCTAAATAAGAAAATTATTCCTGATTTAATGACCCAGCAATGCATGTTCTTGATAGGGAGCCAGGATGGATAACAAGCAATAAGTATGTGGTCAGCTGCCCCCTAAGACATACCCTCTTGGCCTTTTTTGCAAACAGAATATTTTTTTTCAATGTTCTGTCTTATGTCTTAATATCTTATGGGTACAGATATTAAACTCTGAAAGTTAATTTACAGATATTTCTTGTGTTTCTAGTATAGTAAGTTTTGGTGAAAAAATAACTTACCTAATGTCAGTTTTAAAATTTTGTGTTGATAAATTATGTCATTAGCTAATAATAAATTTCATAGAGTGATTTAGCAATATATTTTTAAATGAAGATTTTTATATAAATTTTCTACTACTAAAGTTGAGAATGGATGTCCTTTTTTACTCCATTTGTTCATATTCTTTTAGCTTTAACTGTTTTTAGATGAAGCAGTTAGACAACACAGTTAAAATAGTTCTGTTTTATACACCGCTGCCATTTTAGAAATACAGTGGTGTAGACTGGGGCTCACATATAATGCTACATCCTTTTTGCTGGTAAGCCTGAGAATCGAAGATTCTTACTCCTTCTAGAGAAGCAGAGCACAGGCTGATGATGATGGCCCAGATGACTGGTCATCGTGGGCATCATGGCCAGACTTTGTAATAACTGTTCAGACTTTTAATGTCAAGTCTCAGTGACATCTCAGATGGGTTTCTCAGTGTTTGGTATGGGCTTCTGCCAAATTAGAAAATGTCCTTTTTTTTTTTTTGACAAGTTTTATCTGTAAAATTGTGAGATAACTAAATTCTCATTCCTGAAAAACATTACAGAGTGCTGTGTTTGATAGCTAGTGTCATAGATAAATAATTCTAAGGCTTCCTATGTTGATTCTGTCAATTATGTATCTTTGCCTGCTCTTAAATTGAGAACAAGTGCATAAAACCACATTAGACATCATATGAAACCTGAAGACTTGGGACATGACTGGAATACTAAGGAAAGTCATGTAGGCACAGAACACTTAACTATTATAAGACAAATGCATGTCTCTCCTTCATGTATCCTGGGAAGAGGATTTCATGGTTTTTCTAAAAAAAATTATTTCAATGTTCCAATATTTATTCACTCTTCAGCTTTCTTCAAAAGAGATTACTTTGAACATACAAAGAAATTCCATACTTTTTACAATGTTACAAATGGAGATTTTTTTTTTGCACCAGAATTATTTCTAGAAATCAAGATCATTTTGTTGTTTTTAGTTAAACAGGTTTTTCATTTACTTATGTTTAAAAAGAGTTATCCACCTAACTCTTCCCTAAGTGATCTGATGTGATTTATTACTCACTGAACATGATTCTGCATTTTACCCTGACTTCCAATAAAAACAGAAGGCATGAAGTATTTAGAACTATTCCTTACCAATATCTAGTTGATTTTTTTAATTGATGACTTTATTAATACTGTGTCCAAAGCTATACCACCAAACAACTGCTACAAATGGGACTGTGGGTAAAAATGTGAATATGCTGGTTAAGTGTTTGTAATAAATCATATGTCAGCCCTTTCAACTAGAATGCTTTTTTCCTAAGTAAACAATATAATTTGTACAGTTTTCCTTCAAGTTTAATATTAACTTGCCTCATATGTTCTGTGTTACTTTGCTGATCTACACACTGGCTTTAGCACTCTGGAGGGGGTACAGAACTTGTTAGTGGAAAATCATATTAAGCCCCAAATTCATAAGCTATAAAATAAAAGACAGTTGTCTCTTGTGGAATTTTGGCTGCCTGAAATTCTGGACTTTCTTGTTGGCAGCCTTAAAAATACTGGTGTAAATCAGTACCAAATGGATATCAAAATTCCATGGCCTAGTAGTAATCATTGAATTGGCTTCTAAAACAGATTCCTGGGCAAAAAAGAGGGAAAAAGCTCTTTCTTTAGGGATTTGATCATTTAACTGTTCTTTAAAAAATATTGAAATATACTATGGGGCTGTCTACATGTATGCATAGTTAGTGTATAATAGATTTAGTCTATAATACTTTGCTGTAAAATACACTCTTGTCTCCATTTGAGACAATACTTGTGTTTTTCGCCACCTTTGACCTCAGTTTCAAAGACATCCTTGCCATGCTTCCTAGAAGTTATTAGTGAGGAAAATTAATTATTAACTCCAAAATTATGTCCCTCCAAGCATGTTTGTTACTTTTGTTTTGCCATTTTATACATACCTTAACATTAAGTATTACAAAAAAGCAAGACACTGAAAGGATCTAAGATGATGATCCATTTCAAAGCAATGAAGTGTATGGGTTAAATACGGTTCATGGAATTTCTCATGATATTATGTATAAACTCACTAGATTTATTTTCATGGTGTGTGGTAAGTGTGCTCAAAATTAAAGATCTATCTGTGCATAACTGAAGAAAGTTGGAATGCAAATCCATTATGTACAAGAGAGTTACGGGATTGGTGGAATTGCAGAAACTTTGCTTATGACTCAACCCAAGCATTCTAGTGGGAGTCACTTTCTACCCTTATAGAGCTGAATGGAGAGAAAGGCAGAGACGAGTGAAGAACAGAAGAGCAAGTCGAGGACTAAATCTGAAAAGAAAGAACTTAGGTCATGGGTAGAAAAATGCACAAAGCAAAAAGGTAAAGACTTTAAAAAATTAACTTTTAAGTGTTAAGATCTTGCTGAGTCATTGCCTACCATGGATTCATTATTGAGGAATCTCTTCACCCTTCTTTGCTTTCCAATTTTTCTCTCCATTGACTAAAAATTATCTTTATCAAGTTGTGAACCTAAAGCTAGATGACAGTGAGCTAGAAAACAATGGCCATGAAAAGTTGAAATTGTTGTGGAGGTTTCTTTGAGTGAAAGGTAGAACAAAAGTATTGGAATAATGACCATACCTCACCTCTCCTCTGGTATTGAAACTGCCACTATCTTAAATAGATGGCTTTACTCACACACCAAGTACTAGAAGTTTAAAAGGTAGTTGAGGGCCTCCCTGGTGGCACAAGGGGTTAAGCACCACACTATGAGGCAATCTGCAGCTTCTGCAGCACGAGTTGAATCCCAGGGCAGCAGGGGAGCAACCCACATGGCGAAGCAGACCTCTCCTGTCTTGCACCCTGCTCCCCTCAGCAGTGTACTTTGGTCAGTCTGTCTCTTCTGCTCCCCACTCTGTCTCTGGTGAATCCTCTCACCCCCCCCCCCCGCATCTCTGGCCTATGCCCCAGTTCTAGTATGCATAAATAAATCTTTAAAAAGATAAAGGTAGTTGACATAGAAGATGGAATTTTAACACCTGGTATTTTATTCTGGTAACTTGTTCTTTTTAAGATTGATTGCTTGCTTGATAGTTGGGATGCACATTTTATATAACTTAGACTGCATTGTAACACCCAGGCAAAGTTGATAGCTCATTCTCAACTATTGGCAATTTGATTTGAATTCTGGTGACATAAATTATTTTTATTCTGTGTATTATAAAGAATTTGCTATTATGGGGCAGAATTATTGCTGATTAGTAAGATCCAGCTCAAAGTGACTGCAAAGTATACCTTATCTTTTAAACTCAGCACTTCTCTATTTGATGACAATTAGCACATCCTACTGTTTTTGTCTACATAATTTTCCTCATTTCACCCAATATATTTGCTAAACCAAAACTGTGAAGTGAGTAATAAGAGAGGGGGAAACCATACCAAATAAACAACAGATGTAAAAGTGCATCTCTTGAGTGAGAAAGCATTATTTTGGTTAGAAAACGAAATACATGAAGTTTGTTGTTAGATAGTAAACCCTAAGGGCAAAGGCCTGGTTGCCACTCATATTATGAAGTACAGCTGTTTCTTAGAATGAATAAATGCACATGTAGATGGGCACAGAGGGCTCTATAATGCGCAAGCACAATATATTGACCCTGTGTCCATTAGGTGAGCTTTCTACCATAGTTCTGTGATTTTAGTAACTCACAGTCTAAAGAAAAAGCGCAAATATCCTATCAAAATATTATGGAATCTCTTAGATAAAATCAAATGCTTACAATTGATTTTGTGATCTGGTGTGTTTCCTCTTTCCTCCATCTTCACAATATACATACATGTCTTATGAGTTTTAGACAAACTAGAAACAAGTTATAGATGACATTTAAAAGCATATTGTTTGAGACAGTGATATTACATGACCAAGCACATTGTTTTAATTTAATTTCAGATCTTATAATAAACCATGACTGCCCTCTGGCTAGCAGAGTGAAGTTCTATCAATATGAGAAGAGAAAATAGTTCAGTAGATATGCCTAGAATGGTTACATCAAAAGTTATTAAGAGTCAAAGTAGTATGTGGAATTTATGAAAGATACTCTGTATGTGCATATAGTTAGTGTGTGCTAAAAGTGATACTGATATTTTAAACAAGAAAATTTAATAAGTGTGTGCTGGGGAATTGGAGGATGGGTAACTATGAAGTTATTTCCCTTTATATCATGGACAAACTATAGCATCTAGAACAGTGAAAGCAAAAACTTAGGGACAACATCTTTAACAAAACAACATCATTCTTACAAATGCTAGAATGTGAGTAAGCAAGGAAAAGCACTAACTATTGGCAAAAACAGAGAGGAGAAAATAAGGAGTTTCCAATTTTTTTTTGAGCCAAAGAACCAGTATTCATCATCAAGTGCTCACCTGCTAAAGGAAAAGTATATCTTCATAGGGGAAACTGCCAAGCAAATTTGACAAGAACTGTCAAAACTGGGGAAGGATTACTCAGTACTCTGTAGGTGAGTGTCAAAAGACTAAACTGAAATGATTGATAGATTATGCTGTTGTGTCTGAGTCCCCACAGCTTCTAGAAACACACACCCAAAATTGCCTTGTAAAATAAAGAATCCCACATTCAATAAATTCTACTAAAAGTGAATTCAAATTCTCTGTTTAGTAAAAGGAAAGAAGTACTGGAAACTAAAATGGTAAGGGGACCAGAGAAAGCAGAAGGTTCAAAAAGATTCTATTTATTCTTCCAGAGCCACAAACCTAGCAATGCCAGTCTCATCTTCACCCTCCCTAAAACATAGTAGAACCCACCTTAGTAAACATGAGCAACAGGAAATAGCTGCAACAGGAAACCTAAGCAAAATGACTTAATTCTATGAATGATGTGTTGATAGGAAGTGAGGA